TCCCTTCCCGCTGCACCTCCTCAACTCCGTCCTCCGTACTTGACGAGCCGCTGGCATTCCTATCCCCGTTAACGACCTTGAACTTTGACTTCTTCGGTTGCCCATTGACCGTCGTACTCGTACTCGGGCCAGCACCAGTGCTGGAAAAGGCGTTTGCGGCCGCATTGGATCCAGAACGGAGTCGTGCGCCAAACGACGACGCGAGTGGCGTCGGAGTTGGCGTGTGGGCTTGGTCGTGCTTTTGCGCCTCGCGAGTTTCTCTTGAGGGTGGATTGAGGTATGCGGACGATGATGCGAGGCTGGACGTTGACGCAGCTTTCGGCAGTGGGGGTACAGGTGGTATCGTAATCGTCGTATCTTCAGGGTTATATTTGTACGCAAATGAGTCGTTGAGGCCGGCAAAAGTGGTGTTTGCAGTCTGATTCGGGTCTTGGTGGTATTCGCTATAAAGTATTCAGTAACCAAAGAAAGAAGGGGAGGAAAAATGACATACGATGTGACCACAGAATAATGACTCTCCGAGCTGTAGCCTACACTTGATATTGACGGTGCTACCCGATGTTTTCTAGGCTCTTCCCTTTCCACTTCTTGGATGCTCTCTGCTCCTTCTTGACTGCTCTTCGCCTTTTCGTCTAGGTGCAATGGTGATGCTGGCGGCTTTCTCTTCGGCGGCGGTACTCGATACGATGGATTCGACGCTGAAGCAGCCGTTGCTGTCGGCGCTAGTGGGGTTGTCGATTCTCCTGGAGAAGAAGCCAGCCGGTGCAATGATGTTGACCGCGGTGTCGGGTGCGTCAGGACCGGGACGCCGGGGGGCGAGAACGCTGATGTCAATGATGGCGAACCCTGTGGGTGCAGCTGCGGGTTGGGAAGCGAATGCGACTGCTGCATCGGCGGTGCCATCGAACTGAACGGCGGCGGCGCCGTGTTCGTTGTAGGGAAAGGAAACCCCCCACCAACAGCAACGGCGGGGCTGTTCGGTCGCTCAGAATACAAGTACCGCAAGTCGGGAGGCGACCGGGAGCCCGCCGCCCGTCGGGCTTGAATCGCTGCGATCTCGTCTTCCGTGAAGCCTGCTGCAGCAAGCGAGGTGGACCACGAGGGAGGTATGCCCATGTACCTGTGGTGATGCATTAGTTGGGTAGGAAAGGGAAAGAGAAAACTGGATGGAATAGAACATGTAAACACGAAGGAATATAAAGTGGGAAGCACAGCGGCCGCAAGGGGCAAACGTCAAGGATGGACGAAACGTGAAACAACTATGTTGCACCGTCTGAACTGCATCGTCTCTCCTTCCGTCCAAACGGCAGAGACGACGTCAAATGCCGCAAGATCCATCACCCGTCCATCCCACATCTTTCCGACCATCCCAGCCACCCATATTGCAAAATTCGCTCTTCCCCGACCCCGAAAAAGTGAAGAGAAGTCGAAGCTGTAGAAAAGAAAAAAGACGGGGATTGGAAGCAGATACATGCAGAAGCGGGTCTTCGAGCCATCCCGGATCCAACGTGGCAGGACAACACTGCAGACAGAAAAGCCTCGGACCATGGAACGCAACTGAGAAAAGGGAATTCGAGAAGAGACTCCTGCTAGAGAGCCCGATCTTCAGGATCTGCGCCTGCCCTCGCTTATTTCGCCATTCGTGGGTCGTCCTCGCCCCTCCGAGAAGACACCTAGAACAACAAAAGAAAAGAAGAAAAAATCAAAGGAGACGCTGGAGAACTGAGGTCGAGAGAGGAAAACGCCGTGTCAGCGTCCACCTCTGCCTCGCGCTCCACATATTCCACAGGCAAATATGACTCTTGGTCCGCTATCGTCGACGTACGTCCAGTAGTAAACTTCATCGGCAGTCCTCCTGTGACCTCGCAAGATGGAAGGATTCGCGCGACGACTCCCACCACCACCACCTCTCCTTGTGTTGTCCATCACGAACCTTCACAACTGCACGCGGACGTTCGAAGCATCGAAAGCCAGTGCCACAAAAATGAAAGATAGAAAAATCATCCAGAACGAACGAAAGAACAAGAAATAGTGCAAGGGGGACAGAATAGAACGTTAGACGCACCCTTCGTCGACATGGATGTTATGCTGTTATCGTAGCGTATCGAAGGTGATGGCGGTGAGACGAACGAACTGATAAGCCAGGTAATGCACGACTCACCTGAAAGTTCCACGGCAACGAGATAGCATCGTCCTCACTACCTGGCGTTGGGTCATCCTCGCTCGATGCAGCGGCGGGGGGCGTGCGCGGACTGCGTTTCGGGAACTTGAGAAAAGCGAGAGCCTTGTCCTTCTTCGTCAGCGTCATCTGCGTCTGCCGCTGCCTCGCTTCCCCACTCATGCTGCCTCCCTGGGTTGTGCTCGTGCTTGCGGTAGCATCGATAGGCTGCTGCTGTTGCTGCTGCGTCGGGGGCGAGAGGAGAGACGTAGATGACTGGTTCATGTGGTTGTTCTCTGGAGACGAAAACGGGGATGGTGACGGAGAATTCGCGCGGCGTATGGCGTACTGGATCGACGGCGAAATTGGGGACGCAGGTGCGGTCTGGGAAGAACTTGGAAGGAGTTCGGGAGAGCCTAGGGAAGTTGTGGACCGGTTGTTGTTGCGCACAAGGTAGGCGGGGTCTTTCGGAGGTGGTGGAGGAGGCCTTTCTGTGAACTTGAAGGTCTTGAAACGAGAGGTGCCCGACTCTGCGCTGGCCATGGTTGCATATCCTCTGAGAACTCCAACAGTGGTGATCCGGTCCAACCACGCCAAAAATGTTTGGTTCTGTTGTCCGACGGCTTCCTTGACCTTCTCCCCGCACCCGCACCAGCGATTTCGTGAAATGAACCGTCAACTACAGCACAGCCCGCACCCACAGTCAGGTTCTCATTGTGAAAAGGAGCGGAAGATCACCGAGTTCCCCTTTTACTGTGCGTTGCCACCATCGACCATCGCACTACACCGATAATCTCACGTTCCTCAGCAACCAAGGCTCTTTAACTTTCAACAACCTCAATCCACAACTTCGTGAGGATCATTCTTCCACGTTTCTGCCGGAGAACCGGTCTCAAGTCCTGTTTATGTAGCAAGAAGTCGGAAGCGCGATCCTTCCGGGCCTATCTCGCGTGAAACGAGACACCGTCCAGAAGGGATCGGACGTCTCGCGGAGGCTCAGAAGATCCAAATACACCTGCAAGAATATCCTACGTGAAACCCCTAACTATATGCGGTCTGTCTCCAACGTTGTCAGTAATCAAGGCTGACTGCCGTTAACCGCCGAAGTCTGCACCCCGAACTCTTCGCAATGCAGCCGGACACTGTCGCTGACGATAAACTACGATACCGATTCCTAAATCCCTGCTTCAAACCATGAAAACATCCGGCCGCCCTTCTTCGAGTCATGCAACATAACCCCACTCTCTGTAGTATCACTCCACCACGATCACACCTTAGCATCATGGCCACCTCCTTGAAACTCGAAAAGCAAGAGCCACTGCCACACCTCATCCAACCTGCTCCAAACCTTTCTTCTCCTGCTTCTGTCTATCAACGTCGACAGCATCAAGGACGCCGACTTTTATCTGAACTAAATTTAGACGCGCTGTGAACCCTGAGACTGCACAGCCACTCCACGGTCGACAGGCAGCAGCAAAGCTCCAATCTCGAATTCAAAGCAAAACGGTTTGGTTATTTGGAATAGAAGACTAAAAGACTTCCCTCTTTCCAGGGACCATACACCGTTTTGTTCAATATCAAACACCCTCCCTGTATGCGGGACAGTAGCATCACGGAAGCGATTTAAACACAATTATTGTGCACAGGCCGTTCTTTGCCAGCAGAATCCGAAGAGCACCATATGACTTATAAAAACACCAGAAGGAGAAGGAGATTTCCAGATGTTTCTTGCAGCACAAACAGGGGCTACCACGGAATGACTATGTTGTCAGACGGTGTTGGGCAAAAGAAACGACGTATGTTGACCAATGCAGAGTTCAACTGATGTGCCAGGTACAATCTCAAGCCCAATGCTTGTTTGATGAGGAAGAGGAGATATGAGCTGAATGGCCCTATCTCGCCCAGGGAGAGGAACTCTTTCACATCTAGCAGTTAACAGGATAGCAATCCGGCGAATCTACATTTACTCGCAACATGACAGATCATTTCGAAATAGTCGGGCCTCGCTTCATGGCCGTGTCTCCCTGTAAACATTATCCCCGACTTTGAGGTTTGAAAAGGGTCTTCCGAGTGGAGGCCGAGATCACACCCGTCTCCAAATAATGAGGCGCTCCTTCCCTTCATGGCTCTCTGAAGACTTCTCCGGCACCTTGTCCAAAATCTTCACAAAATTGGATCCCAACGGCGTGTCATAATGTTCAGGTCGAAGGTAATAGGGGGGCCCAGTTTCTGTGTAGGGGAGCATCGGATAGCATATAGTGATGAGGTATCCGTCTGGCTTGACGAATTCTGCCATCTTCTTTCCCCAGTCGTTCCTCATGAATGCAGGGATTGCACAGAAGAAACTACACACCGGAATCGAGGTGTTAGATCTGGTCGGAGAGATATCGAAATAAACTCACGTATGATCATAGACGAGCTCGAACTCCTCTCCTTGCGGAGGAGTAAATTGAAAGAAATCATGAAGCTCGATGGACGCCTTCAGCGAACTAGGTTTCTGAGTTTTCCCTTTGAATTTCTCTATCTCCCTTCGACGAATGAGTGGACGGCCATATATTTACTTGAGGTGATAAACTCACTCGCTGGCTCGCTTTACAGCGGTTTCTGAGACCTCCAAGCCAAGCGTATCCAGACCTGTAACAGAGGCGATGTACGGGAGGTCATATCCCTATTCCATTCGGTCAATTCGTGGATTCGAGAAACCATAGTCAACTCACCGAGCCACATCCGGGAACCAACGCCCTGCCCGTGCTAGGAATCTTCAACGCGCTGGACCCCAAAGCTTCCCTCAACGATGGCTGGACGTCTCCTGCGTCCCATGGGGTCACACCTTTAGTCCTGAATTAGATCGTGAGTAAACCACCGGGAGACGATGGACGAGTTCAATCTGCCTCTCACCAAGCAAGTTCCCAAGTCGACAAGTCGTCGGGTGTGACGATATCTCGTGGCGTCTGTTGTACCGGATCCTGCGCTGCGTGAGGGGCATTTGAGGACATGTCGAATCTTGACGTAGATGGGGACGGAGGGATCTCAATAGTGTCCGGCTTTAAAAGCTAGACGCCGTGTCCGGCCCGCCTTACCGCGGCTTAGCGCTTAGTCAAGAAGCTTGTGCAGCATGTAGCGGTCACTGGATTCTTACTCATAGCACGTTGAAATACCTGGCATTGGTTGAAGCGGCATGACCCTCCTACGTAGTCTCAAATGCGACATCAGACACCTGTCCCGGTTCCGCAGCGGGAGGGAAACAAATTGTCGACAAGTACCCAAAGAGCTTGGCACAACTAGAGGTCTGTTTCCGTAGCACCATGGCTTTTCACTTTCTCCCGGTCCTCTCTACTATGTACATTACAGCCTAGAGTACCGTCTCTATAGAATTTTACACTTTCCAGATATTTCTAGATACATCAACGTATTTATTTATCACTTTGCGGGGCATCAACCTCGAGGATTGACCCCCCAAGCCCCCGTGCAATGCACGGGTATACCTCTAGTGTTGAGTGATATCACAACACTGCTTTAGAATTGGACTGATTTCACGTTGAAAACATGCACCAGCCAGTAATGCAGCATTACATATTGTCTTCCCGAGGATCGAGCAGAATCTCGAGGCGCTGAGTGGGTGAATGCGGAGGTGAATTGGCAAAGCGTTCAGCGAGAGACGCACATATAAATTGGCCAGAGGCCTTTCGAACCAAAAGTATCCAGCGCCTTCGCACCGACCCAACCGGAAGGAATTCGCATAGGTATATGCGGCTCCGGACGGTTGGCAATTAGGATTTTGAGAGGGAGTCCGCAACGGGGTGCCAATGAAAAGAGAAATCATAGGCGAAGTCTACGCGCCCTGGTCCACGCACTCGTCGAGGCGTCGGCAGCGATCAATGGAAGTGATGAGACTTGGGAAAAGTGGTCCTGTTCCGAGAGTAGTCGAAGGGGTTCAACGACTAGTCTGATTAACTGGTCCTCAAGGGAGTAGGAAAGGACAAGGGGGCCTGCTTCCACGACAGCTTCAATGTGCGCAGAAGGAACCGTGCAGGCGATGCGGTCCATTATCATCTTGATCATTGCCACTCTCGCGTTCTCGTTGCCTTCTGGAGGGGCTGGGTAGTCGTCTGAGTTGTGGAAGGAATCTGAGGAAACGACTCCCGTCAAGGGATCGAATCTCTGATTAGCTTGTTGTAGAAGAAAGTGGGTCCGGTGTTGGTGCACTGGTTCTAGGCATATTCATCGTTTGATAGGTATGTAGTGTTCAGAATCGAAAGTTGAATCAATATTGCTGCCCACGTAATTTCCGCTGAGAATGCTCGCCATCGCTAACGCGTTGAGCAGGACGTGGTTGACGATACTGTCGGAGAGGGCTGACCAGAATGAAGGCTTGAAGCAAGAAATATCCGCCAAGCACTTCCAAGTTAGTATACGGTAAGCACCCAATGTGGACTCTGACCGCAACCATCTCGTCTTTCTTCACAAGTAGGGTCTCCAGCGCGCTCACGTACTCGACACCAAAACCTAACCACATTTCGACCTATGCGTGAAAGCATGTGCAGTCTTTGCACACACTGGCACTTGAACGGCACAACAGGTCCATACGGCGACAGCTCGGTTCGTGAACCGCGGTCGATTCAACAATAATGAGGTGCATAGATGATCCTCTATTATACGTATGCAGCTAATGTTACAAATGATGTACAGGCTAATTATGAGGCGACACGACGTCTGTTTGAAGTGACAACCCGAAAGTGAAACGGACATGTTTAAAACTCTGTCTTCCCGACGTCTACCCACTCGTCTCCAGCCATCTGTACGTCCGAATCCTCCTTCGACTTAGCAGCTTGAGATACAGCCTGTGATTGGTCTGCTACTACTTCGTCGAGAGCCCAAGCGTCCTCATCGATGTCGGCGGGGATGGTGACAAGGTCCTCCGATTCGCTCTCCTCCTCTTGCTCTCGAACTTCTCGCTGCTGCTGTTCTTCTAGTGATCTTGGAGTCTCCTCAGATATTGTGTTTGAAGAAGAGTCCGCGTTGGTTGGATTCGCAGGGTTCGATGGCGGTGGCAGCGCATGCGCAGGAGTGGACTCCGATTTAGATTTGGCCTCGGTCGGAGAGATGGATGTGGCATCGACAGGTGCGGGAAGCGAATCTTCAAGTGCCGGGGTGGCCATCTCTACCTCCACTATGTCTTTCTTCGCCCCCATCGGCTCCTCCTGGTGCTCCTTCGCCTTTGCCTCCTCAATGTGGGCCCTCCAAGCTTGCTTCCAATACCTCTCGAGTTTCGCCGACTCCTCCTCGATCTCCTTCACAATCTTCTTTCGACCCGTCCTGACGTCCTTCTCTCCCCAGCTCTCCACACCGTCGAGCTTCATCAGGATCTGGTCCATCTGGTCGGCGTACTGGTGGATGGGATAGTTCGTTGACGTGTAAGCAAGCTTCGCCTCCAGGGGCGAGTCGGAGTCGACGTTCATCGACGCCTCAGCGTCCGTGATGGAGTCGTCCAGTACCTCAAAGTCTGCGGAAACATGGGCCGCGGCAACAGTGATGTGACCTTCCTCAGCTCCAGGCTTCTGGAAATCGATTGAAGAAGGGTAGACGAAGTTGCGTTTGAGTTCTTCAAACTGAGACGACAAGGCGTGGAGGGCGCGGTACGACTGGTGGATGCGGAACTGTCTCTGGATGCGGGATGCCGCCTCTTCGTGCTCCTCGCCGTAGACTTGTTTCGGCGAGGGTGCACGGGATGAAGCGGTGAAGTGGGTGAAGCGGGTGGGAATGGGGACTTGGATGGTTGTCGAGATTGGGAGCTACCCCGGATATTGTCCTGAGAGGGCGGCGTCCGAGAGCTCGATCGAGCTTGCTGCTGGTGCAGACGCGATTGCTGCAAACCCGAATTGTTAGTCTCGACACCATACGAGCCAAACGTTTTACGAACCATTTCACGTTCGAACGCCTCAGAGAGGCGGCGAGCCTCCTCCTCGCGCCTTTCTTGGAACTGCTTCCTACGCTCCTCCAGAAGCCGCTGACGGGCTTCCTGTTCCTCCTCCATCTGCCGACGCTGCTCCTCGAAAAGACGCTCTCTCCTGGCCTCCTCCTCAGCTCTGAGGCGCTCCATCGCCTCCTGTCTCCTCACTGCCTCGAGATACGCCCGCTGACGGGGCCCGAGTTGACTATATTCAGAGTCCTCGTCGCTAATGTCTTCTTCGTCAGGGAGCCACTGTGCACGGCGTGCGTGTTGCTCTGCACGAGCCCTCATGTTGTTGAGTGCACGCTCCTGCTCGGCCCGCTCGGCCTGTTCGTCCGCCCATTGGGACCACGAGTTTCTTGCTGGAGAGCGCTGGTATGGGGATGGTCGGTAGTAGGCAGAGAACGGGTTATAAGAGGCTTCGGGTGCGTTGTTGGTATACCAAGGTTGGCCGAACATGGTGATAAGATGCAAGAATTGATGTGGTTTGTGGGATGGGATTGCGGTGTTTGGAAATAGATCGCGTCTTTTATGCGATCTCGCAGATGTTCCATGACGTTGTCCACTTCATTCCAGAACAAACTGGCTGTGCTTACCATTTTTGCCACTAAGCGCCAGCGGGCGCTCGAATTTCGTCGAACTTGCTGGAAGATCACGTGCCTTCGGCGAAGGACTTGCGCGCCCTTAAAGTTATAATCACACATTACTCAGACTGCTTTCCTTGGTTGATCGACCATTCCGGAAACGCGTCACTGTCGAGCACTGTCGGTCATGATGCATTGATGCATGACGTGTGGCGATTTATCGCGGCTGGTGGGAAATGCTGATCGTAACGTCGGGATGTCCAAATACGGACAGTTGATGAGTCCGTCCCGAACGGGGCCCCGCCGCGCGTTCTCTCGGCAAATGCGCAGCGTTCGAGACTTGGGGTGCGATAAGGAGGGTGTCGCTTCACTTGACCCACAGAAAAGCCGTTCATGTGATGGCGTGCACTATGAGAAGGGAAAAATAACTTTTTCGGTTCGCCCTACGAACCTGGTTCTGTATCTGACTCAATAACGAAGGACACAGCACTGAAATGCCAGGATCGTCAACCGCGAAATGGGGTCTTATAGAGACTAAAATTTGTCCAGTAGAAGAGGTAAACTCCGGAGAAATACAGGAAGTGACTCGTCGTTGCCGATGGTTTCTCTCTCTCACCGACGAATTTTTGCTGACTGTACTTTGCGGTGCGTGAGAGGCGATGAAGAGGTAAAAAGGACAAAGGGTCCAGAAATAGGTGTTATGTACGTCCGCGTGTACTTACTTGCCATCGAGGAATCCATGATCAAGCTTTGCCAAGGCGCACACACCAGCCGTTCTCCTCGCGTTTTTCATGATTTCCTCCGTCATTATCGTAGGCAATGGGCCAGGTGGATACAAAATAGGTTCACTATCTTTGAGCTATGGTCTAATCGTGCACACGAGGCTCAATAATCATGGTTTTGAGTACGGCATCGACAGCTGCCTTTGTAATGGTTAATGAATCAGCAAAGGGGAAGCGGGCCTGTGCTTTCGGTAAATCCCGCGGAGGCGGTATCGTATGAAATAATCATACGCGATTCGGGTAAACGTAGACGATCGATGTCTTTCATGACTCATGGCGTTCCTTCGAGACACTATAAAAGCCGCAGCAACAATGGCGAGACCCCCAAATCCTTTCACGGTCACACAACCCTCGAACGTCCTCGCCGCCGCAGTCCGCATTTACGAGCAAGAGATATAAGAAGATCCGCTCTCCATTATACAAGCCCACATTAAAGCCACAATGCTGAATTCCACGCTCCTCCCCACCTACTTCAGCTCCCCTCTCATCACCACCATCCCTACTATCAAATACGCCGCCAACGGCAGACAGATGAGCTTCGCCGAGACAGAAGTCCAGCGCCTCGAGCGCCTTGCTTTTGCCAACGCGTCCAAGTCGCGCTCCGGCTCGCCCACGCAGAGCCGCGGCACATTTTCGGGATCCGCTTCACCTGTACGTCCACTAGACTCTTCAGCCGGTTCTGCGAAATGCTTACCGTCTTACTCACAGAAGATGCAGCTGATCTCCGAGCCTTACGGGGACCCCATTGAGCTCATGGCGAACCGCCTCGCCGAAGAATTTTCCATTTCCTCTGACGATTTCTCTTCTTCCGACGAAGAATACCACGTCTTCTATTCGACGCCCAAGAGCGCCCCATCACCATCTTCTCGCAAGAGTTCGTTCAAGCCCGGCCACAGGCGAAAGCGGTCCTCTCTCTCTTCCATCCCTGAGGAGGATTAAGTGGACCCGTCAGGCGTAGGGACCTCCTATCCCCTCCCACAGAACCAATACCCTCTGCCCAACTTATTAAATAAGGATTTCGGCATGTCGTCCCACGAGTGGCGTGGACCCCGACATCCAAGAGCTCGGCTCCTTGTTGGCTTCCCAGTGCAACCCACGCACGCCCAGCCTCGGAGCGTACTCTAGACGCTGTCGTTCGCGATGTTTCACAGCCCGGAGCATCGCCGCTCATACTCTATCAGCTTTCCATCCTATGCAGTTGTCTATTAGATGTAGTCCATATTTATTCTCTAGTCTCAACTTATAGAAGTAGCTGTTCGCTTTTCAGGCTTTACTCTATGTTGATTCAACCCCTGCTCCGGCGCAATGGACGCGGCCAAAAAGCTCAACAAGCCGACGCCACTCTCCTTTCCCACTCTCGGGCCGGAGTTTTTGAATACGAAGCAAATGATGATTTTACTTCGACACCGTTCTTCTACGGCGCCCCTTCGTTGCGCTGTCGGTCGAGTTTTTCAAAACTGAGAAAGCATGCTGTGAAGTTGCAAGAAGGAAGTTTGAGCTAGTCAGTTAACATGGTTGCTCATCGATTGTTCTCGGCTTCATGCTGGAGTGAAAGTTACAGCTAGGAGGTGATCGTGTCGTCCTTTGTTGGGAAATTTTGGAGCCGCGGGCGATCAGCCGAGCAGAGCCGTGGTTTGCGCTGTCCACCAGAGCGATACCCATCTAATCAACTTTGGCATTGAAACAATAGGATCGGGTCGTCTGAAGGTTAAGTTCCACAGTTGCAAAGAGCCCCACTCGACGGGCGATGTTCCTTGTGCGCGCACCTGCTACATCTGGTAATACCGTATTTCGGTCTATTTTTCACGGTCATTCTCGTTCAGAGATCAAGGATAACGGTGCAAAGATTGATAGATGATGATAAATTCTAGATAACCGACACAATTAAGGTATGGGCACTGAAACGAGGTTGCATCGTTCTCCCTCTATGCTCAAATCGTGTGATGCGCGTGGTTTCGCCTGTGTGAGTCAGAGTGGGGGCCTCGAGGCGAGGTGTAAAGTGACATTATCGATCTCTGCCTCGCGGCGTACACGCCTGCTTTCCGAGCGAGCAATACAAAAGCAGCTCTCCAGGAGAGAAAGTGCCCCATCTCGACCGCACACAGATAGACCTAGACATACTTCCCCACCTATTCATTCACTCGTCACCATGTCCGACCTCATTCAAGCTGCGGCGCCTATCATCCCCGTCATCGATGTGCGTTCCTCAGATCAATCCACGTTTTGGCGCCGAGCGCTAGCCTTGCGGGATATTGGCTGACTCCATATCTATTGTCCAGGAACGCCTCGCGTATCGCGCCGACGCACCGAGCTCACACAAAGCTAGAATCGACGAGTACAACGAGCTCCTAGAGGACATATACCAGCGCGAGGTCGAGCTCAGCCGCGTCAAGTCGGCTCTTATCAGCATGCGGGAGGACATCAGGAGCGAGGAGCGCCATCTCGAATTGACGAGCGGGATCGCAGGCCTCGGACTCGCTCACGACGCCATTGCGAGCTCCAGCAAGTCCGACGCGAGTGAGAGCGACGAGACTGGTGTCCTCTCCGACAGCAGTGGTAGCGACAGGGGTCGCCGGGATGCAAACATCGCTCTAAAGAGCCTCAAGCCGGGTGCCAAGAAACCTTTCTCGAAGGCTAAGATGGGAAAGGGGTCTAGCAAGCATTTCAAGGTCCCCGATGCCCAGCTCGACGCCGAATGGGACTATAAGCTCGAGCTCGGTCGTAGCTCTGGAAAGAGGGGTAGGCGTGCGTCTGATGCCTCTGAGGACGGCATTCGTATTTGAACCTTCCTTTCATTTCGACGAGAAGATTGACCAGCTGGTACTGGGTTTGATGGAGAGAATTCGGGCATGCGTAAGACTCGGAGGGGAAGAAGCTGTAGCATAATTATCGTAGACCATCTACCACGATGAACAAGACGAACGTTGACAAATTGATTTTGAACATCAACTCTGGTCAGCCTCCACTCGCCTATTTCACGCGCGCCTACCATTCGGGCATGTGTTACCCAGAGTTGCCGGCGGAAAAACCAGAGAAAGAATACACAGGTCACGCGTCCATGTTCTCTAATTTAAACGTACGACATAGCAAGTTCTCGGCTTCACCACCTGTCCGCCACTTGTCTTATTGAACGCTGCACTCCAACGTTTGAACCGACATACATCGCCTCGCGAACCTCTTTCAAAGTATGCCTCCTTGCAAATCTCCTTTTGAGTTTGGACGATCATATCCTGACGATATCGCAGATTCGATTTATGCGTCAGTTTCTGCGACTGGACCACCTTGAGTTAGATCCGAGCATTATCTATCCACGGTGAGTAAAGTTCTCGTTATAACCGCTATGAATCCATTATCTGTCTTACGGCAGCAGACGACCAGACTTCTCTACTTAAGTCCGCTGCCTCCTCGCTGACTCCAGCAACAATGGGTGCCCAACTTTCCACCTTGTTCTATACCGTCAAGGCGCTTGTCACTCAGTACAACGCCTTCTCGAAACGTATCTCTCAGTCGCCTGGAATACCACGGCTGAACGCCTCCGTCCCGTTCTGGACCATCCCGAATGCCCCAATTGCTCGCCATGGAGAAGATAAGGAGCTTCCCACATACGCGGACGTTATAATCATCGGGAGCGGTATATCTGGAACGTCCATCGCCCAAGCACTCCTCGAGCACGACGCCAAAGAAGCTGGGTCCGACTCTGAGTCTGAGTCATGCGAGCTAGCTCCGCCGCCATTGAAAATTGTGATGCTCGAGGCGAGGGACGCCTGCTCAGGTGCAACCGGCCGGTGAGTTCTCAGAATAGATCCCTGTCAAAGTGCTAACGATTCTACAGGAACGGCGGCCACGCGTGTCCCAACGTCTACAACGAGTATTCACAACTCAAGGAGGACCATGGTGCCAAGGCTGCCCTGGAGATACTGCGATTCCGTCTGGCCCACATCGACGCCCTTATCAAGGCCGCGAAGGATGAGAACGTCCTCGAGGCTTCCCAGGCGCGCGTTGTGGATGATTACGACGCGTTCATGCATCCCAACATGTTCGCCTCCGCGCAACAGGAATTGGAGAAATTCCTAAAGGAGGTCCCAAAGGATCTTGCTCAAGGTTTCGAGGTAATCAGAGAACGGAAATCTCTCGATGTGAGTTCTGCGTCCTTCTCCCGCAGACCATTTGCGATTCAGGCTATTGTACAGGAGCTTCAGCTCGCGTCCTCCATACTGGGATGTATCGTCAAACCCGGTGCTTCCATCCACCCCTATCGATTTGTAACAGGCATTCTTTCCAGCCTTCTCGCTCGACATCCTAAGTAAGTGCCATGCAGTCTGTATTTCGAATGGTTGCTCTTACTTTGATTTAGCTTTGATTTATATACACGGACACCATGTAGTGACATACGGACTATTGACGGCGTGTATAGCGTCAAGACGCCCCGGGGAGAGATCAGGGCGCTGCACGTTATACACGCGACGAACGCCTGGTCATCGCATCTACTCCCCGGGATGCGTCGCAAAATCATCCCCGTTCGGGCGCACATGTCCGCGCAGCGTCCTGGGCAAGGCCTCATGCCAACCGCGAGTCCGTGCGACCCACCCAACACGCCCCTACCTCCTAGGACCTGGGTGGGCACCCGTGCGTTCGTGTTCTACCCGACAGACAAGGACTATGCCTACGACTATCTCACGCAGCTCCGCCCCTCCCGCCCGTCGAACCCCCTCCCGAGCGCGGGCGAACTTATGTACGGTGGTGGAGCCGTGCTCGGGGGAAAGAGTGAGGATGCGCTCCTGGACAATATTGGCGTCTCGGACGATAGCGGCACGGACTTTGTCGTCGAGGCGTACCTTGCTGGCTCGCTCGAGAGATATTTTGCCGACCAGTGGGGTGCGGAGGGCAATGAAGCGGACACAGAGGCCGGTTCTCCTCCTCCCCCAGCGCGCGGATGGGGAAAGGGGAGGCTGAAAGCCGTGTGGACCGGAATCATTGGCATGTCGGCTGATTTTCAGCCCTGGGTTGGGAGGGTCCCCAAAGCAGTGTCGGGCAGGAAGGAACCTGACCCGTCTCTTTCACTCATGAAAGAATTGTCCAATGATGATAAGAAAGGAGTAGATTCTTTCGCCAAACACCATCTCGCTCCGCCTGGCGAGTGGATCTCTGCCGGGTTCACGGAGAAGGGATGGTACACGCTTGGTTGAGTGGAAAAGCCCTCGCGCGTATGGTCTTAGGCCAGCCAAGTGCTGACCCGGAGGCGGGGGACATCGCCCTTCCAGCCCCCTTCTTGATCACTGAGAAGAGGGTTAAGCGTGCAAATATCGAAGAAACTCTTGCCAGTTTTGCTTGAAAGGTTAGAATCGGATACAAGCCTGATCGCATGACTCTTAGCATTCCCCCTTGAATCTTTAATTTCCATGACCTGCCACTGTGCTCCTATCCCATCGTTCTCGGAGGCTCTTCTCCTTTATGCCAACTTATCTTTTCATATCTGCCGCTTGTACTTCGCCTGTCCTGTATTACTGCAATGCTGCTTTGTACTCACATAATCCAATCGAAACGAACTGAGCCCTTCTTTGCTCTTTGTTTTGGCCGCGGTCGGACGTGTAGTGATGACACTTTCGCTGAGAGCATCGCCGTGTATTTGAGACCGTCACTAAAAATCGGATGGCTTCTTATAATGCCATATGCTTCACTTGACCATATTTTCCCTCTCAGCGAAAAATATCCTTCATTCAATTTTTTTTTGAGCTTTGGACGCGCTTAAGCTTGTCACGCGCACACTCACATCACTCAGTGGACTTGTCACGCAAGTTGTCATGATTTCCCGTCGTCACCATGGCCGAGTCAATCATATGATTCATGATGTCATCGACACCTCTTTTGCCACGTACACCGCGATACTACATACCCATCATACCGCCCATCGCGCTGAGGCAGCAGCTGCAGGAAAATGGCGGACCATAACACCCACTTACCCCCTCTTGGCTCAGACTTTGTATTCACTGTCTCGTCTTCGGCCCTGATTGATGCTCCAAGAGAAAAGGTGTGGTCTATTCTTCTCGACTTTTTGTCGTACAAGGAATGGTGAGTAGTCCTGTCTTCAGTGTGATGTGTATTTAAACCATTTCTGGTTGCAGGAACACATTTGCGTACGAGGCTTCATTTCACAAGAGTTAGATAGACGCTGAATCGTGGGACCAGGCGATCGTTCACCATTACCGATGCCTCGGGGAACCCTCTACCTGACCAAACGCCAGCCGAGGGAAAATACATGGCGATCAAGGTGAACATGCCGCCAAAGCTGGGGGAGCCAGGATGGTTTGGCAGTAGTTCTGCCTTTGTCACCATCTCGACTTTGGATCCAGAAAATTATCGCGCTGCCTGGAAGACCACCGGAATACCTTACTTCATTCTGCACACGGAGCGGTGGCAGGCCTTGAGTGTGGACGAGGCCACGGGAAAGACCAAGTATGAGAACATTGAGGCGTTTGGTGGGCTCGCAGCGTATCTTGTGTGGTTGTTCGTTGGCACAAAGCTCAAGGTCGGGTTCGCTGCTACCGCGGAGTGCTTGAAGAAGCGAGCAGAGGAGAAGTGATGGCACGGACAGGATGTCTTGGTCTCATTTTTGTGGCGTGCTTGCATTTGATTTTCTTTCCATGCCTATTCTATTCAACATTTCACAGATTGCTTGAGGCTCTCAGAGAGCTTCATCTTCAGTCCCGATTTAAGACGCCCCTCGGAGCGCGAAGAGCATGCAACACCAAGCGTCGTCATCCCTTTACGAACTTGCTCTTCTGCGGACAATGTTCACTGCGGCTGCCGCGAATGCACCCTCTCTTCCGTTGAATCTCGAGGCGGCTCGAGGCGGCTGTCCTTGAGACCCAGGAGATACATGATGGCCACTCAGCTGCCTTTTGAATCGGAGCTGTGTTTTTCCGACCTCTTAACCAAAAAGTCGTGGGGTCATTGCCTTCTCCAAAGGAAAAGGGTTTAGAGGCCCCATCTCTGAATCCTGGTTCCTTGTTTTCTCCAAACGTCCACTATCTCTGCGGATCGCATCACTCTGTTTAGCCTTCACCCTCATGCGTCCCTTTGCGACCGCTGTGTGCCCTTCCGAGCCTTTTCCGCCTTCTATAAGTGCGGCGATTCCTGCTGCGTTGGTCGCGGTCAGGTGCAAAACACCGCACATGCATGGGGGGGTTTTAAATGTAGGCTGTCTCACTCTCGGAACGCTCTTTCTCTCCCCGATTATGCAAAGAGCGCTACCATCCATCGTGTACCGCTTGAGATGCTGCCTGTACCATTGGAACGAGGTGTCTCCATGACTAGCATAGTGCCCATGCTTATGTAAATATGGGGAGCTATTAAATTTCGGCTACACTGATGACGGTCCGGCTTTCAAGAATTCAGACGGGCGCTAATTTGGGGTGAAGAAAACAAAATTTGTTAAGGGTAGGGGAATGACGCTTAAAATGAAAGATGGTATGATTTATAGACACCTAGTATCTAGAGTATGAGGGTTATCATCTATGTCTTTCTCTTTTCAAAGTTCGTGTTCGACCCTGTCTAAACACTGCGAAGGCATAAGGCGCTGACAACATAACGATCGCTCTGTCTTGTCTATGATAATATTTGATGTGATCTGCAAGAACGTCGCGTCTTGGAAACGGGTTTTGAAATCTCCAAGTGTCCTCGCAATCACGAATGGGACATATCCAGCACACTGTGTGCGATAGGATGTGGCGGAGATAGCTTGACTCCTTTATAGGCGCCGAACATTCGGTCCAGGAGCACAAACGTGTTCCATGGCGAGCATGATTGCCAATAATCCTATGAGAGTCTTTCAGATGATTTAAGAAGTCCACCACTGTCTTGAGTTCCACATTGCATTTCGTTCTGTTCGGGGTCGGTGCTTGGGGACTGAATGCTTCCATTCCTTCTTGATGCAAGTCAAGTCTGCAACAGACAATTCCACTGTAGCCCTGGCTTATCTCTTTGGGAGTAAGTAAAGCTTCCTCAATGGGAACGTGCGGAGAGAGACTTTGATCACGTTGCATGCTGGGTCGGTCGAAACACGGCCGCCATGTGCCCCGGTCAACGGTCACCAAATTCGAACTCAAGGTCGTCGATCCGCGAGCTTCGTTATTTGACATCGACTGAAATTCCGGATTTTCACGCTTCCAACTGGCGTATGGCACTGGATTACCAGAGGGACCCGCGACTGAAGAGTTGAATACGCCGGCATCAAAGGGCGCAAAGTAAGGTTGTTCGACAAACCCTTCGACGCGATAAGTTCCCGGATTGGAATGCGGTAATGGATGGGGGAAGAGTCGCGCGTCGTGATTGTCGGTCATGTAGGTGTTGGTCCGGGGATCTACACTGAATATCCGATTGCTTATTGGTTGTCCGAGTCCATAGATGGTCGGGATGCCGTAGGTCCAATGTGGGTCCAGTGGGGGAGTGTACTCATTCGGAATGCTGGTGGGAGCGTAAGACCTCGGTCAATTGAATAGCCCAATGGCCTTACCTAAAAGTGGAGTGAGCATCATTATCCTCAGCCTCACTTCCGTACGGAAATTGACCAAAAGACGAATTCCTGAGACATATGGATAGTGAGCAGCATGTCGGCCTCTTAAATTCAATTTTATTCTTACATTGTAGACGGGAAGAAGGATTTGTTTAATGCCCAACATGTCAGAAGGTTTAAATAGGGAATCTTGACCCATCTTGAACCCTGCGCGATATTTTCTACAAGACTACACATGATAACGGTCAACGCATTAACCGACGAGTACCTGGCATATTTCGGTGGCAATCAGATACCGGGTCGCAGTACTAGATGACAAATTTTAGGGTTCAGAACGTCCATCTCCGATCAACGGCTATCAAGTGCATGGGGCGAAAAATCAAGAGAGAAAGGTCGCAAATCAGAATATTGTGATCCAACTCCAAATCGCCTACAGCCTTTTACCTGAAGATTCGAGTTATGTTAGATGTTCAATTGTCCCTCTGCTCTCCCTTGGGAGTTATATTGGCCACTCACGCTAATGACGAGGATGTATTCCGCATCGCCCTACACTTTTTTTCATTGGTGGGTTGTTTACATCTGAGTATCTGTCGACATACTTATTCGCCACAGTCCGTCGGCCCCTGCCACTAGGAGTATTTTTGCCACAGCCGTAAGTATGTTCCATGGGGGCGAGCGATGCCAGCATCATGGAAGGGAACTCGAAATCTAACCTCACTATAACTGACAGAGTGCTTGATGGGCCAGGGAGAGGCGCAGACGTGGAATATATTCCTGGCACAAGTTCTCAGTGCTTGAGACGTTTGACTCAGCACTGCTCTCGTTGTACGCACTGTAGATTGAAAAAGCAATCAATCCTTCCGTCATTCACTATAGCATCATACAGGGACCTTCCGATACGTTTCGGTCCGGAGAGTGTAAGACCAGACCGGGGTGGCAGTATTCGTTCGGTTTGGAGGTTCTTGGCGTAGACTAGACAGATTATATGGGAGGGAGAGGAAGGCTTTCGTAAGAGACTTGACGTTCAGAATCGAAAGAGAAAATGGGATCGACAGCAAAGATTTTTAACCTCGGCCATGTAGAGTATGCCGCTGGGTAGAAGTCATGCATTGAACTTCAGTTGGCCGCCCCCAGTGAGGTTGCCGGCGTCCGTTTGCTGCGGGCGATTTACGGCTCGCAGACAAGTCGGACTCCGGAGATCAGGGGGTGGCATTGTCCACTGTCTCCGAAAGATTGACAGTTTTCTTGTTCTCAAATGGTGACGAGTGGCTTAGGAAGTTTGCTACGTTTCGGAATAAACTCCACCATCAGGCTGCGTACTAGGGTTGTATGCCAAAATTATTCTCGGCGAACCTTCTCTGAAGGTGAGAATGTTACCCTTCACCTTAACCTTCACCTTCATCCTTTCTCCAAAACATGACTATTTGTTGGCTGGAGAATTAGCGACAAAATGGCTACTGGAGTCTGGCAGCATCTAACGGATGCCAGTTGGTTCGCTTTTCGGCTCTAGACTGGACCTGTGATCCTGAAGGCATTAATAATCACACAAGTTCTAAGAATCGCCCACGTTTTCAAGGGAAGTAAGTAAGTAAATCAGACGTCGAGAATTGGTCGAGAAGCTGGAACCCAGGATGCCAGGAATGGATTGATCGGTGCGTAGGGAGAAGGGATAAGATAAGATAAACTGCTATCTCCGGCCCGCCAGCCCTCCATTTTGAACCCGTACAGTTTGGCAGTTTGGCACGAGTCAAACTCCAGTGCTCTCCTCAATGACTACTACTTAGCTGGTCCTCAGGAATACGCTATAAATCGCAATGAAAAAATCTGCCTCTATGAAGTCATCTCCCTCCACATTCATCTCGCGAAGATGGATATCCGTCACCTTTCTGAGCGCGGCCGCTTTGTGGATTTTGAAGAATCGAAACTCGTCTTACATTCTCTGCTCGCAAACGAAGAACATATATACCGTCGATGATGCTAATCCGAAAGTGGAGTGCATTTATGTGAAGGGGTCGCACGTCGTCGATGTTGGCGACTATTGTTCGTCCAATTCGCTATATCGAACTTCAACCGCACGCTCACTCTCTTTGCCTACAAAGCTCACATCGAACAGCGGAGTGTTCCATTCGATTTCATCCGAAAATCCGTTCCCAGTTGGATAATTCTGAATCCCTTGACGCAACCCAAAGTCTTCGAAGTGAGCCCGGATGCAGTGGTGGTTCCTGGGTTGGCGGGTGAGAGCTACTTCCTCTACACAAACTTGTGCTCACCGACAAGTTCAAGATGCACACGCCCACGTCATTGAGAACGGGTACATGATGCAACTTCCCCTCATGGGAGCCCAGTCTGTTCAAGGTGGGTATCGTGTCTCCGACAGCGAAAAGACACTTCTCACTCAAGCTTCTAGACGTCGTTGACCGCATTAAGGCCTTTATAACCTCGCATCCCGACGTAGAAAACGACAAATCGCGCTGGATTGAAGGGATGGGATGGGATCAAACCAAGTGGCCGGGTGCTCGCTTCCCAACAGCCGTGAGTGACGTATCTCGTCCTCTGCGTTACCCTGCCTTTATCATGGCATACAGGCAGATCTCAATAACGACCCACTACTCAAAGGACGATTAATTTCGCTCAGTCGTGTCGACGGTCACGCACGTTGGGTCTCTTTTGCGGTTCTAAATCTTATGAAGGACTTGCCGGAGAAGGTAGACGGAGGGCTTGTTGTGCGTGACAAAGAAGGAAGGCCTACAGGTACGCATTGAACTTGCACGTCAACCCCCCTTGTGGCTGAATGCGAGCATATTGGTAGGCATATTTGTCGACAACGCCATGGGTCTGATTCCTACTCCGCCGTGGGGTGAAGCACAGATTTCCGACTTTTTCAACTTGACCATCAAGCAAGCGCTCTCATATGGACTCACATCCATCCACGACGCTGATACAAAGCTTGAGCATATCAAATTCTTCCAAAAGTATGCTAAGACTGTATATATTCTACGGCGGCATTTTGATCATTTTGAGCATAGGATGGCAGACGCTGGGAAGTTGCCTGTATGCCTGCTTCACCCCATGTTCCTTCTAGCACTTCCACTGACGCACACGCCCTCAAGAGCCGACTGTACTTAATGGGCAACGTTGCCTCCGAAGAATACTGGGGACATCAGATTCCCCGCTTGATCAACTATGGCAAGCACAAGCGGTTGAACCTTCGTAGTGTGAAGCTCTTCACGGATGGTTAGTCTCTCCAGCTATAACATTCCGACTAAGATTGACTATCATCCCGCTGAAGGTGCTCTCGGATCGTGGGGCGCTGCACTTCTCAAACCATATTCCGACAAACCCGAGACGAGTGGGCTTATGCTCAGTAGCCCCGAAACGCTAAAGAGACTTGTAGATCAGTTCTGGAAGGATGGGTGGCAGACGGTACGCGCCGTCTCGCTGATATTACTGCGCTTAACAAAATCCACTCTACAGAGCATCCATTGTATAGGCGATCGAGCGAACCATGCCATTCTGGATATCTACGAGGACATCCTGGAGCACAGAAAAGGCAATGTCACGGAATGGCGTCCCCGCATCGAACACGCTCAGATATTCGCGCCAGAAGATCTGGAGCGTATTGGCAAACTCGGAGGTAGGGAACGATCTCTTGTTCCATCTTATCGCAAGCTTACAGTTCGTGATGGTCCGCCAGTTATTGCCAGCGTGCAACCCACACATGCGTCAGTCCGGCTAATTTTATACCTCCATTATTCGCTTGCTTAACTCTGTATCAGGACTTCAGATATGTGGTATGCCGAAATACGACTGGTTCGGCTTTCTTTGTTCATTGAGTCATCTCATCTCTTATTTGTTGTTCTCCTGCAGGGAGCAGAACGTATCAAAGGAGCTTACGCATATCAGACCCTGCTCAAAGCCTCCCCCACCGGCGTCCTTCCTCTAGGCTCCGACTTTCCAGTCGAAGGCGTCAACCCTCTCCTGGGTTTCTACGCTGCAACCTCTCGCCTCTCAGTTGATGGCACCTCGCCCCATGGATCCGGCGGGTGGTTCGCCAACCAGCGCCTCTCGCGCGAGCAGGCGCTGAAAGGGATGACACTCGACGCGGCCTACGCTTCCTTCGCCGAACACGAGACTGGGTCTCTCACACCTGGGAAGAAAGCAGACTTCGTGGTCTTTGATCGAAACATCATGACGGTGCCATTTGAAGAGATCTTGAAGGCGAAAGTGCAAGCTACGGTCGTTGACGGCCAGGTAATGTATGGTGCATTGTAAATCTTCTGGTTTATCAATCTATTCTTTGATTTCATGGTTTTCTTGAGGCTGGGCGTACGCTCCCGTTCGACGAGGCGAGCAACGCGCCTCGTGGGCATCTCGTCTGTCTCAATCTCCAAGATCACGTTCATCGCAGCCCCCGCCTTCCGCCCGCCCCATGGCGCCTTCGAGTAAACCTGCAGAGCTACTATTTTTGCCCTTGCCTGTGGATCACGCTTCGCTGGCACCACAAATGACCGCACCTCTTCAGCACACCTCCGCACCTCTTCAGCACACCTCCGCACCTCTTCAGCACACCTCCGCACCTCTTCAGCACACCTCCGCACCTGCTCTCCAGGGCGAAGGCTATAGCCTGCCCACCATCGAGATACCGAAGACAAGGCACAGCCTTAACCACCATTTACAGGTTGATAAGGCCGCAAAACGCGACGAGCCTTCCGCAAAGTTAGAATTGGATACTGGCGCAGCACCGCAGACGCTACGTCCAGTCGAAGAGGCGAACGATCCACCGGCTCCAGAAGTGGAGGCAGAGATGACGGCTGACTCTTGGGGAGACAGCTTCGCGGTTGAATGGATACGCCTAGAAATCCTGCCGTTCCCGTGAACAAGGCATATCCGGAACCCGTGGAACCACGAATGGGAGGTCAATGTGTCTCGAGATCGGACGGAGCTGGAACCGACTGTTGAAGAGCTGACAGAGGAGTGGGATGCACTTAAACCCCATCAGAACGAAGATGACCGTCTTTATGACTAGACGTGACATCACTGTTTCCCCTCACGGAGAGCTCGAGCCGTTGGTGCATCAGGAGTGTGAACCACGATCTCCGCTGCTGAACTCGGGCACCGTGTCAATGTATTCTGCACTTCATGCGACCGCCCCTGAATTTGACACTGCCATCGAAGAAGTGGACGCCCATGCACCGCAGAGTGGCATCATTCACGGTTATCCCCCTTGGCCTGCCAAATTTAGAATTGTTAATTTGATTAGTCAGCATGCGCCACATTCCTGAAGCTCATACAGCAAAGGAGGGCCATAGGATTTGTACCAGGACCCGACGCTGGGGGATTGGATTTAATTTCTATTTCTCACTCGGCGAATGGCATCCTCGATATTCCAGAGGCCGGTGTGTCCCCGGGATACTTATATACCGTGTGTTAAAAGCATTACTCGCTGCTCCAGAGTCTAAAAGAGCAAGGTAAAGTGGTATTAAAACAAGGTCATAGTTTAAAAATGTAAAACAGGCGTGGTGTACGGCTCGGATGATGTAAAAATAAACCTGATCTCGTACGCCAGCGCCGAATGTGTTGCTATGAGCGCCTTTCCGTCGGCGCTTATGAAACATTCTTTTTGATCTTTATATTGAACCTTGAGCAATGGCCCATCCTAGCCGTTTATTTGAATCAAGAAGAATTTCAATTCACTGATATTAGTGAGTAACTTAATGGATCTTCGAACGCTCGACCCTCTGGCTCACATTCATATTTTCTATAGTATGTATATGGTTAAAAGCGGTTTGCTGGGACAAGGAAGACGAAAATGTTTAGGCAACCCGGCTGAGGCTGGACCCACCCAGGCTCTCGAAGCCACTCCATACCCCATCATCCCAATACTTATGTCCTACCTCATGGTCGGTCCCAACGACGAACACATCGATACGATTCTTCCCCCAACACACGGCTTTCGGCTTCTTGACAATAGTGCCTCCCAGATCTTCGTAATCCGTTCGACTTGGTCCCCATGATGTTCCATCCCACCACTTGTGATACAATGCGCCCCCCTTCCCAACAACAAATACATCAATCCGGTTCGGGCCCCAGGACACAGCCTCGGGGTCATGCATGAGCGCGCCTCCGAGACTCTCCTATGTTCCGTTCCACGCCAAGTGCCACAGCGCTGAGTCCTGCAGACCCCTCGCGAAGACATCGATCCCTTCTCCGCCCGACCACACGGCAACTGGGTCTCCGACGATTTGACCACCCAGAGACTTCCAGGGTGACCAAAGGGACCCGTCCCAGCTCCGGTGCCACAGCGCATTGTCGGTGCCCGTGACGAAGCAGTCCAGTCGATTAGCAGACAAGGAGACGACGGCTGGCTTGTGGCTGAACCACGTGCCGCCCAGGTTCTCCCAGTTTCCTACGTAGGAAGGGCCCCATGAGGAACCGTCCCACCATTTGTGGTAGAGAGCGCAATCTGTGCCGATGACGAAAACATCAAGTCTAGAGGAGAGTGTTAGCCACATTAAGCACATCGGCAAGGAATACGAGATTGTCCACTTACCTGGTAGCAGACCAGGCCACGGCGGTAGGAGAGCCTATCGCGTTGCCGCCCAATAACTCGTAACTGGTCGCAGATGGGCCCCATGCAGTGCCGTCCCACCACTTGTGGTAGATCGCGGACTCGGTGCCTACCACGAGGATGGTGAGGCGGTTGGGATTCCCCGGAAATGCTATGCACTCGGGGTCGTAGAGGAACCGGCCGCTTAGGTTCTGGTAGGAGGTCTGGCCTGGTCCCCATGAACCGGTGAACCACTTGTGCTGTAGGGCGGAGTCAGCACCGACGACGAAGAGTTCGACCTGGTTAGGTCCGTAGGAAGTCATGGTGTCTGGATATGTACTGGAAGAATTTGAGAAGATGGATGAGTATCTGAGGGAAAGTCTGAACTGGCCAACCTACGCTCGATTGGAAAAACAAAGCTGGCTACCGCGGTACCAAGCCGCAACCATTATATAGTACTTACTCCGAGACGAAGCACGAGGAAACGTTTGTGACTGCTCCCTCTTCCGAGGACTGGATTGAGGGACAGCAGCAACTAATTGCTGTCAGTGAACACTCAGAAGATGGGCTCCTCCGTCCGCTTGTTTAGTAGAAGCTGACTAGTGCAGAAGCGTGTAGACAATGACAGAGACAGGATACCTTCCATATATGGCCGCATGCCTTCCGATTTCGGACTGGCACATCACTATAGCCACTAATTTTTAGTCTTTACTATACCAGCGGCGACGCGAACTTCGCTGCTGTCTTAGAGGCTGGCGTTCGACACCGGTGGGACCCAATCTCCGAGTTTGCCGTCACTTCTTCTGCGCTACTAGCTTGCGCGAGGCAAAGGAGGATCCATCCGTGGCGTGGTTAAACACCATGACCGTTGAAGGTTCTGATAGTCATTTGACGCACGCGCAGGTCCAATGCATAACTCCGCCTGAGACCAACGATCCATCCAGTCATTGGGAGATACCCCGTCATTCATCTCTAGACTCTTTGGGCCAGTAAGTTCCACGAGGAAATCCAGCCTCTCACTGTGGCTCGCTGCTGGAGCTGAAGGCGCACCTGGTCGTCATCGATGTCTCTCCGAGTCCCACTTGAAAGTTTCACTCTTTTACTTGGGATGGGATACATTTCATCTTATCTTTCTTTATCTTTTTCTAATTAGGCGTAAGTACAGCCACACTGATACCAATCTGATTTCCGTTGTCAGCTCATCGACAACCACGGCGTTGCGTGCCTAGCTACTTTCAAGGACTACAGCGGAGATGGTCGACCGCCCTCAGGCTCTGCTCCAAACCACCACCGTCGACGAGAATGTCTGCCTTGGATGGTGTTTGCTTGGGCATTTCGAGGTTCGTTGTAGGGTTGATTTCGTTTCAAGTATCAAGTACTTACTGACCGCCATAACACAGTAATCCAGATATTTCTGGTGCGTTTCTGCAAATGAATGGTGTGGAAGCAACTCATCGGAAGCTCTGAAGGGCCTGGTGTACGGATCGCGCTTTACCTCCAGTCCTTTCTTTCCGGTGCGTGGTAGCCACTGACCCTTAGTTTCGAGCGTTCCGTTACTGACAATCAGACAGTTCTCCTCGTTCGTTTCTCGCCGAAGGATGCGCCAGGAGCGTACTGGGCCATGACATCAACCGCCTTCTCGTTGATCATTTCGAGTATCGTCACGTCAGCAAAGAAGGAGATATCCTTGCTGGATGCGATTGTCGTGGTGTACGGTATGCCTGCCAACTTTCCCCCTCTCCTTTTGACGGATTCTGAGAGTTTTTAGTACTCCTACTCCCTGTTCTGGCTTCCGCGTTCGGTCTCTCAGAAGTTATGGCACCTCCTCAAGGCAAGAACGCGACGCGATCGGTGCACTCGCCCCTCCTCATCATCGCAAACTGGACGCGTTCCGTCTTCACATACTCCTTCGCCCTCTACGTCTGGATTGCCGCTCCAAATTTTGGTTCAGACCCTCCCGAATGCAACGAAGCCACTCGGCTGATCTTCTTTGGTGCCAGTCTACCAGCCTTGGGGAGTGGACGAATCCTCAGCCTCGCTGGCTGGGGTTTGTTTACCCTATTGTTCATTTGGAGGACATTGAAGGGTGCCGGGACGATTTTAATCGCATTCCAGGCGTTATTCTCTTCCACTGCGAGTCAGGCACTGTTGAAGCCCAAGCATCCTCCAAAGAATGAGGTCCATCGAGAGCTCGTCACGCGGACAGATTTCGTGACAGGGAAAGTCACACATGTGTAAGTATGTCCATTTTTCGTCTCCTTTACCAGTCTTCTCGAAGGTTTATCCGTGTTATAGGAATCGTCTTTTCCGACCGAGACAAATATTTCATGAATTGGTGCAAGGAATAGCAAGTCAGATCCTAAGTTGGGCACCATCTGGAACTGACCGGTGGTATCGCGTTTATGGCAAGACAATTCTCATCGGGTTTGTAAGTGCCTCTTTCTTCGAGTCGTTAGCCGAAGACGCTAAGCTTTATTCGCAGTTGGCTGCGTGGGCCATTGTCATGACCGAGTTGGAGTTGCTGCTCAATAACTTGGAGGACAATGTTAACAACGAGTGGGGCTTCGGTCAGGTAAGGATCATGTTCCGCCTTCAAAAACCGGCATTAACATTTGTCCAAGATCCTTCCCATGCTCTTGACCATTTCGCCCCTCTTCTCGCTGTACGAGTCGGTCCTATCCCGCCGCTCGTCAGGTCCAGTGGACGAAACCCGCGTGCTCCGTTTTTCCATCCGTCGCGCTCGAGGGCTGCAGCGTCCGTACTGCGAACTCGATCCCTACCCACCCGAGGTGATCGAGGAACTTCTTGAAGACGACGTGAAGAAAGCCCGGGCGCCGTCGCCCTTCGCTGTTGTGACAATCGACGAACGAGAGATGTACACGACGTTCGAGTGGGAGGACACGCACGACCCAGAGTGGGACGAAAGCTTTGACGTCAAGGTACGCGATCTGTCGACGGTGGTCATCCGGGTGTTCGACCGCAAGTGCATCGATCAAGGATGGCCGTCGTTCATAGGTTTTGTAACTGTCCTGCCATTCTCATTGCTGCCGCCACCCACGGAAGGGATCCGAGAGGAGGATCAACCTGCCAGTTCTCGGACTGACGTGCTCGAGATACCACTAGTGCGAGATGGGAAGACGGTCTCGTCGATGACTGTGAGCATTTCGCTGTCTACGGATACGCGGTTCCCTCCCAGCCTGCCTGTGGTCCCTCCCGTGCTACATGAGGAGGCAACGCACCTCCAACGACGGGTGGGCATGGTCCAGTTCGGGAATAAGAAATGGGGCCGTAAGAAGGAGACGACGACGCACGTCTATCAAATGTCGTAGTTTGGATCCCATTCAAATGTAGAGTCCATTAGGCAATTATCCTGGTGGTCCAGGAGCACGATACATGGAGGAAATATTAGAGAACGTTGGTCCCAAAAATCTAGAGATAACGACTAATAGAGATAACGACTAAGTACTTCCCGATGTTCGTTGGGCCCGGAGCTATGCACCGGACCCTGCGTGCGCGTCGGCAAATGACAATTGGAGCCTTCAACCATGATGGATGGGTCCACCTTTTTCCCGCACGGAGAGACTTCAGGTGATGAGGTCTCTGAAGGAACGCCCACTCCCCGCGTATGCCTGAACGAGCTCTCGGGGTTATCTCGGCTCCGATTCTGGTTGGACTGGAAGGCGAGGCAGCTATGTCCGGCGTGAATTACGCTCGTCGCAGGAACAAGACGGCGACGAGCTCACCTGTGGGGATAGAACGATCCGAAACAACAAAGGAACTGGCTGCTCGCGTGAGCGTTTCTTGAGAAAACAGAGGGTCAGAAGGACCATGGAACATCTGTCAATCAGCCAAGGCATGAAATACAGAAGCTGATCATCAGTACCCGACAGGAAGAAGGACTACAGCGGTGTGCGAGTAGAAGAAATGTGACGAACAGAAAATTCGGTGACGATTCGATGACGGACAGTGAGAGAGCGTCTAATTAGGGTTTACCGATCGAAGTACTGGGTAGTTATCTGCCAGTATCTGCCCGGCAAACTCCGAGACATGGAGAAAAGAACTCTCCCCGCCTTCGTATTTGCACGATGGCTTTAATACCTCATTTACACTGTCAAATAAATGTATTCATCCATTATTCAAAGTTTGAGACCAGGAGGTGCAACAGTTCTCGGGCAACGAGAAATAGTTATCTGCCAGCCCCCAAGTTATCTGCCATAGCACAGCCACCCTCGACCTTTTTGGACACCTCGTTCCCATGCCGCAAAAACCCTCGAGGAGCATTGATATCATTATCCTCGGGCGCCAGGGGTTCTCATGTGCTGTCGGAAAAGATACACAAGGAACCAAGAAGCTCAAATGTGAACGGATATGTCTTTGAGCTCGTGCATAGTAATAGGTTGCAAACCCCACTTATCTTCAATCGGACGTTGGGGAACTGAAATATCCCAATCCCTTACCCTCCGCCTCTCGCGCGCTTTGGCGCGCGGTTCAAAAAAATACCCAATAGTCGACATTCGCGAGAATGATCTCGAAATGAGCTATCCCGGGCAACGGTGCACCACGATGGTAAGAATTCTCAATTCCTTCCTTTTTTGATTTCTTTTATTTCTTTTCATTCTTTTTATACCCAGTACTTTGAACGGTAAACCCATATTTGCACGAAATGCTGTGCGCTCGATCTCGCTTTCTCCTGACTGATGACGCTTCATATACTCCTCGACGAAGAGGTGGTTGGCGTCATCTTGGTTTTCCATAACTGTGATGGGGCAGTTCGCGTCCGCACCCCTGCGAGCTTCGGAACTAGGGCGATGAGCAGCATGACGGGGGCTGGGTGTCATCACACTTACTAGTTTTCGTAGACGCCAGGAGCGGGGCCACGGAAAACGACAAAGAATAACGGAGCCTGGCCTGACTTGACCGTTCAGCGAGGCGTGGAAGTTGCACTGACATCGCTGACGCACCTTCGGAAGATAGATTCGCTTCTTCCTCCTGGTCAGCGTCGACTTCACATCCCAGGTCAGTCTTCAGAGGACTACGGATAGATAAATCACTCACCAGACTCCTCCCTATCAGCATCGTCGTTGCTTGAACCATCTTTGTTGGAGTCTGGCCAATAATCAGACAGTGCACCGTGAACATATGTACCAAGACTTACAGAGCATGATGAGGGTAAGGGAGAGCAGAGATGCGCGACAAAGGCTGTGGGAGACTATGTACTGCGACAATAGAAGTCGAACGTTGAATATTCAACACAATCGACAACAATCAGTCATCGATTTCATCCGTCAACGCGTCACGCGATCCACATACAACAGAGACGCGTCCAAGCCGCGACAACACGCAAATACGAGCCATGGCATGGAACAACAAGGTATACTGTCGTTGTTCGTTGACCAACGTAGGGCAATCAACTCGATTCAGCACAATGGATCCTAGTAGCTTCACGCTCGCCCCCTCCATCATTTTGATACCTACGCCTCCTTCTGGCTGGCTTTCTTGATACTGGGGGTCCATCTTCCTTTGCCAGCCGCCATCCCCTGAAGAACGTACAACCTCCTCGTTTCCGTGCAGCTAGATCCAAAGCCGACGTTGCCAAGGGCTCATGCAAGAACCCAGTCGAGGCGAAGGCTGAAAAGGCTGACCGTTTGAAGGCAGGAATAATTCTTACGGCCCGAGACGACGCCGCTCACAATCTTGCCAAAGAGCTCGATGTCCCTTTGAAAAGCATCCTTTCCAAGGTGCTGTACCAAACAAGCTATGCGAAATGTCGTGCCGTCAACCCATTCAACGCCTTGGTCTACGTGAGGGGGATTGAGATGAACGGGGGTAAGCCAGCCTGCTTCGCATGTCAAGAGGTATTGACTAACAACTGCTGTCCTATATAGATCTCCCTCTCGGTCGTCGTCACCCCTTGAAAGATATCCAAGATAACGTCAAGGAGGGTCTTCGCAATGGCTCAATCACTGAGGAGGACAAAGAGGATGCCCTTATCGCGCTCGCTGAGTCACGCGCTACGAAAGCGACGGGGTCGCGTTCGAGTAATACTGCAGCCGCTGCAGATGGGAGAGCAACAGTGGCCCGGATTTCCGATGAAGTGAGAGCGTTCGCCTGTTTGTTCTTCACTTAACCGACACCCTGGTTCATTAGATTGTCAACCTCAGCGCCCGCACTGGTACTACAGGGCTCGCCCTGTTTGCAAAAGGGCACATCCATGACAGTTTCGCCAACAGGGTCGTCGAATGTGGCGGTTCGTCGGCATTCTTCCTCGACGTCCTGAAGATTGAAGCCAGTGATGTTCTCACCAAATTTAAACAATGGATATTTGCGAAAGATCAAGGTCAGTAATTTGTCTTTTCTTTCCATGGCTGACAAGTAAGCCCCATACAGCTTCAAAGCGGCCCGTTGGCCTACAGTCCTTCAAGAGTGATTGCTGTACACTCATCACGAAGAAGCTCGGTATGTTCACACTCATATCGTCTTTGCGTCTACCAATTGTTTATTAGGAGCTGCGACCAACCATACAAACGTCAAGATGAATTACTCGAACTACCTCAAATCCATCATCTTAGGGCTTCACGTTCATCTTGTCGGCTGGCCTGAGGGTGTCCCGTTCACGAGCCCCTCCAATCTCACTACGGTCCCTGTGGCTCAACGTCTTTACAACGCCCTCACCGCCGGATCCTGTGCTTGGGCATCTCTCAGCAGCGTCCAGCTGAAGGAGTACGAGGCGCTGCAAGCTGCCAATGAGACGCAGGCCGTGGCCAAGACAACCACACGGAAGGTACGCCCGGATAAAGGTAAGCGGCATACCAAGGGGTCACAGACGCCAAAGGAGATGAGAGCCGAGGGCGAAACCGAGCAGTAGTACGAGTTGACGGAGAAGAGTCTGAGTCTGATGACGCAGCCGAGGACGAGGTCCGAGACGAAGATGACGAGGACGACCTCCCACCGCCGAAGAAAGCCAAAGCTACTGCAAGGCAGAGCGCGACCGACAGGCCTGTTTCCAATTCTGCTGACCCGCCTCCTCCGCCTCCTCTGCCAATCACGCCCATGGTTCCTTCGCCAACAATACGCGACGACCCTTACAACGCCCTATATCTCAAGAGGAAGCGCAAAGTGCGTCCAGACGCGGGCGAGAAACGACCGAGGAAGGATAGAGACGGAGGAGAGGAAAACCCGCCTCCGTTGACGAAGAAACTGACAAAATCGCACGGAGTGCCTCGCGGTGGCGGCAGTGCATCCAACGGAGCAGGTTCGGCCGCCAGGCTCCATCGTCCTGGAAGTGAACAAGGCAAAAGGAGGCACGTAGCCGCCAGGCTCCCCTTTTTCTTGAAAAGCCGCGAATTCATCATCGAGGACAGCGAGGACTCCGCGAGTGAAGGAATATAATATATCCTGATTGCTAGACTCTGCCTTTCGAGCAGTCACTGTCCCTCTACATACGTCACCCCTTCCCCACCATTGCACCCTTGTGACGAAGCTCTTCAGCTTGCTTATCCTTTCAATGACCTGTGGAATTCGTATCATTACATAAACACGCTTCTAATATCCACCTAATATGCATGACTTTTTGGTGATTTATGGGGTACCAAGGAAGGAAACAGTGAGCTCGCTGTCAGCGACAGCGACGGGAGTGGCTAGCTATCAGGAGTGATGGTGGTGTCTAACAGTAGGCTTTATGCATCCCCTCGTTGCAAGCCTTCGACCTCCTGGTCGGCGTCCGAATTTGCTCCACACCACTGACGCCCCGAATACGGACGTAACCTTTTTGTCCAAGTCTCCTTCGACCGCACATACACCCAATTCACCGCTAACAGCATCGCCGACCACACGGGCGCTAAAATGATCGACAGAACGTCCATGATCACCGGGCCGGCAAACACCGTTCCAAAGCCCATGACCGCCCCGCCGAGCGTACCAGCACGAGCAGCGTGCAGTGTGTCCATGCCCTTCAGATCAACGTGATGGAGGAGGAGAATCCTGCATCCAATCACCGCGCCCAGCGTGTTGACCACCACCGTCGTCAGAAACGCGGTGTACCAGGGCATGACCGTGGTTCCGGCGGGGTTCGTGTCTTGTTCGCTGTCGGAGTCGCCCCAGAGCGGCAAGCGCGGGCGGCGCGCGTATCGAGCATACCGGGGCGGGTCTGTCTCGGTCAGCTGGCGGGGTAGGCACTGCAGGACGATTGCGACGATGATGCAGGCGAAAGGGGACCCGGTAGCTCCGATTGCGGCTGCGAGCTCGTGGGTTGTATAGTGGTCGAGAGGCGCGGCGCGTAGGATGGCGTTGCCAACGAACATGACGAGCGCGCCGTACGCGGAAAGTACGGAGAAAGGTAGGCCGAGGAATATTCTGCAACAGAGTCTGAGATGAGCAATTCGGGTGCATGAAAGGATGGAAGGACGCACGCTGTAGCCAGGACGAGGAAGAAAGCACCAGGGATGATGTACACGAACCCTATCTTCAGAATTGCCAGCACTGTGCTAAGAATTCGACGAGGGCGTCGACGGCGGCCTGGGAGATTCTGTGTTGTTCTTGGAGGTGCCGTGATAGCATTTGGTGTTGGACTGGGTTGAGCAATGCCAACCTCACGAATGTCTGCGGACGCTCCATCCATGAAGAAAGTAAGTAGGTGGGTAGTTCGTGAAGGTCGACTGAGCCGAGGCAGTTTTAAAAAGCTATCCTGACACTAGACGAAGAGCACAGCCTAGGGCCATGGTACATAGCGGCCAACAAGGCCTGTGGAGAAAATGAAGAACGACGGGGGGGTGGGAGAATGAGATGGTGATGAAACCGCGCTGGAGAAGTGATGTCCGGCGTCGCCGTGCCGTCGAAACAGTCTGATAATTATATATAAATAATACATAGTACTTACGTTCTCCTGTTTCGCTTCCTACCACCGTCGTCTATTCTGCTGCAGCGTTTGTATTTCGTAGTCCACCTCAGAGTCGCCCCCACACGTTCCGTAGCATTGGCACGCCGAATAGCTGTACGACTGATCCGTCCATGTCTCGTTCGACCGCACGTACACCCACTTCAAGCCCATCAACATCGCGATCCACAGCGGCGAGAGCAAGATCCCCAACACGACCGTGATAACGGGCCCGACGAAGATCATGGCGGCCGCCATGACCGCACCACCCGTCGCCCCTGCGCGGGTCGCGTGCAGCACGTCCATCCCCTCCAGGTCGACGTGGTTGTGCAGCAGGATTGCTGAGCCTATCGTTCCAGATAGCGTGTTTGCGACGATGGTTGTACAGAAGGTCGTATACCACGGCAGCTGGGCTTGCTCGTTCTGCCCAGCGTACTCGTCGTAGATGTGCTGCCGCGGCGGTTGGCTGCTCTCGGTGAGCTGCCTGGGGAGGCATTGAAGGACGATACCGATGATAATGACGGCGATAGGGGCTCCGGTCGCACCGACTGCTGCTGCGAGAGCGGCTCGCGTGTAGTGTTCGAGGTGCGCGGCGCGCAGAATCGCGTTGCCCACAAACATGACGAGGGCACCTTGCGCAGAGGCAATCGCAAACGGTAGGCCAAAGAAAAGCCTAGAAAATGAGAGGTCAGCGAGCATTCAGGACAAAAATCAGTAAGAACTTACACGGCCGCAAGAGCTACGAATATCGTACCCGGGATGAGGTATATGAACGCGATTCGGAGGATAGCGAAAATGATCCCAAAGAACGCGCGAAGGAAAGGCCTAACTCTGCTTGGACGCCTGGGTTTCGCCGGCTCTGGGCTAGATGATTGACTGCGTTGCTTGCCCTCCTTGGTGGTTATTGGTAGCGGGAGCCCGTCCGCCGAAGCAGTCGGTTTGGGCATGGGTTCTGGTTGGGTGGCGACAACTTCCGCTGCGGCTGGGTCCATCATGGTGGAGAGAAGAGAAAGTAAAGGGCTTCAGGTACGATAACAGCACCACGGATAATTAGCATTCCGAAAGCCATCCGAAATAGTCTGTAGCGGTCAACCTGTGACAAAGCCTGGTAGCCATCGCACGGCCCCATGACGTCCTCCTTGATAATTACCAGCTCGATAGTCGAGTCCCGACGAACGTTGCAAAGAATTTAGAGACTGTTTGGAATCTACAGGTGATGATGGCAGGAGGCATGAATCCGGCAAGAAATGTTTGTTGGAGATTTGTGATCTGGTAAATATTTGTCGTCCCTGTCCGAAAACCATCATCTTCCTTTGCTCGCAAATTGTCAACAATGGCTCTCAGGACGGGCAAGAATAAGTTAAGAGGCCTTTCATCCTCTAGAAAGGTGCCAGTGGATACCGAATTTAACCTTGTTGAGCTTGACCAGTATCTCTGCACCGCCGTCCGAACCAGCGTCTCGATGAGGGACTTCCGAGTGGAGCCATTGCGTTCAATGAAACGAACGTCGACCTAGCTTCCAGATGTATGCCACTTGACTCTGATGTTCCGCGTGGCGAACACGGTGATTTTGACGTCGTACACCGGGCTATTGACCAGCTCGGACTGTTCTTTCTCGTTGGAGAATAGGCATGGACATTGGTGCGTTTTCTGTCCTCGCGTAGTCCATAATCCTAATCAACTAGCGATATAGACCCGCTATTAGGGTAGCATTTGCAACGTCTGGCATCGGTATCCTCGTTCATGGCGGTAAGGGAGACGACGGTCGGCAAATGAGAACTTGAAGCTTGGTAGTTCGAGGAAGCCACTAGTACTATCCAGTTGTCCGAGGAGTCATACGAAGCATTCACTTGTCTCTACTTAACTTTCCTGACAGGGACTTGGTGGTGGTAGTTGATTGACTCTGGCAGCGATATATGCAGCACCATATGCCCCTTCCCGCTTTTTTTAGAGCTGTCCAGAAGCGGTGTCGCATGCAGGTCGTTGCATGCCCTATGTTCATCTTCACGATCGTCGTCAAGACTTTCTCGAGTTAGCCCAACGTGTAAACCTCGATGAAAAGACGTTCTCCGCCGCCCCCGCCTTGACTACTTCAATCTTCAATCACTCTGATATGGAGAAGTGATTCGGCAGAACGGGTGGACGATGAATATGTTTTAGTGAGGTGGTATAAGTACTGTACACTGCCGCAAAGCAATCGTTTCGTAGTTTCCCTCGACATCGATATCAATCCAGGATCAGTGCATCCCAGTTTCTCGCGTATTTTTTAGCCTCTGACAATCTGAGAATGGTGCGCATTGGTGCGTAAAGCAACCGAAATCCGACAAGTGGTCAGGGTCCTAGAATTAAAATAGTAAATGAAGGAAGCTGGTCTTTTGTTGATCGCTCTTTTCCTTCCCGCTACCATCATCGCGCCAACGTCGTCCACCATGGTGAAGGAACCTCCACCTCGACTGCGCCCACCCCATATCGACCTCACCCGCGCGACCGGGAAGAAGGGCCCTGTCATTCATGTCGAGCGAGACTCCCCGATCATTGACGACGACATCCTCCAGCTATCCGATTCAGACTCTTCAGATTCCGAGGCACCATCCAGCCGCAAGCTGACCTCACGAGAAGATGATCTCCCAGAAGACATTTCTAAGGATCTCGCTGCTCTGGAACAGCTTCGCAAGAGTGTGAAAAAGAACCTACGCCTACGTCCTATACGGTCTCGAGGGAACCTTCCCAAAGTTGATCTCAACACGGACGACATCCTATCAGCAATACCGAGATCACCATTTAGCTCGACTGCCTCGCCCAAGAGTGAGGGTGCCCCGCAGAGTGCATTGAGTCCGACTGGCAGCATCGCCTCCAACTACTACACACCCGTCTCAGAGACGCCCTTCAGCGCCCGGTTTCCCATCGACCAACCACCTCTTTCTTCGCCTCTTCCCCCAGTAACAACGCCAGCATGCTCAATAAGCCCGAAATCCCTCTTCGACCGTTTGATGTCGCCGAAACGTCCACTCCTCATCGACACACGGCCCCTGGCGCTCCATCAATCCTTCCATCTGCGCCATAGTATCAACATCGCCATTCCATCTCTCATTCTCAAGCGGTGTAGACGGCCAGGTGGCGGTCTACAGTCATTGGACGCTCTCCGGCAGTTTGTGACGACGGAACGGGGCAAGCAGCAGTGGGACGTGCTAATGCAGCCAGGTGGAGCGTGGGACGGAGATGTGGTGGTGTACGACGACGAAATGAACCCCAGGGACCAGGACAACCTCGGTATCACTGCGTGGGCCATCATCCCGGTAATTGCACCCCTTCTCAGCTACGGCAGCGTTGATTATCTGGAAGGCGGGATATCAAGCGGGGGCCACCATCCCGAGCTTGAAACGCTGATAGTGACGGGGGAGGAAGCAGAAGCCGAGCCGCCTGCGGAAGCTGCCCCACCGCCCCAGAGGCCCAATAACGGCGGGATGCGCAAAGGTTCTGGCCTGTTTCAGCTAGATACCCAGTCAGCATTACGGTCAAAAAAGCTACCCGAGCTCGAACCATCCTCTTCCACGGCCTCCAACCCACCCTCACCTATTCCTCTTCCTCGCTCGCCCATGCCACTCATGCCAGCCGTTACGTCGTCCTCTTCCTCGCGCCCAAAGGCTTCTGCTGATCAGCTGAATGTCGAGGACGCCTCACCATCGCCCCCGCCGTCGTCAATAGCGTTTAAACGACCGGCACCGCCTCGAAGACCCAGTGTACCTAATCTACGTCGTCTGGACACCAGGTCGACCGAGCGACTGAATAACGTCCCCAAGTTGTCTGTGCGTACAAAACCCATACGTTCGGCAACGCTCGCAGTTCCTCCCTCCCTCACTCTCTCAATACAACCGCCCCAATCGCCATCACACTTGCAACTCATCTACTCGAATCATTCTTCGCCTCCAGGATCGGCAAGGCTACAGCCAACGTCACCCTCGTATGACCCATCCAATTACCTCACTCCGTACTACACTCCACCTCATACGCCGGGCACTCCCAAGCCCATGATGCCACCGTCACCAGTGACTGCTCGCCCTGATCTCGACCCACCGACGACAGAGGATGCCTTCCCTGTCTTCACGATTTCGACGATCCTGCCGGGTTTCCTCTTCCTAGGACCCGAGCTGACGGCGCAGGAACATGTGGATGAGCTTGTCGAGCTCGGTGTGAAGCGGATACTGAACATCGCGGCAGAGTGCGACGATGACAGCGGCCTGAAGCTGCGTGAGGTCTTTGAGAAGTACCACAAGATCCCGATGCGGGATACAGTTGAGGAGGACAACATCACAAGAGGTGTCCGGGAGGTGTGCGAGATTCTTGGTGAGTCGTCTATTTATGCCGCATTGTAAGACCTGCTTGCTTACCTGGAACTTAATCACCCTTTTACCTGCACCGTAAGATGACGCTCGTCTCCATTCCGCCCCAACTTACGTGCACTGCAAAGCGGGAAAGTCGCGATCTGTAACAGCAGTCATGGCTTATCTTATCCACGCCAATCACTGGACACTATCACAAGCCTACTCCTTCGTCCTGGAGCGGCGGAAGGGCATCTCGCCGAATATCGGCTTCGTCTCTGAACTCATGAACTTTGAAGAGCAAGAGCTGGGAGGAAAGTCCGTCGGGGTGCAGGCCCACCCCCATCCATCCACTACCACCAACAGTGTGCCCTCGGGTTCGTTGGGCAGCGACGCCTCTATGAAAGGCAGTCAAGATTCGGCAGCTTTCTCCCTTGCTTCGGGGTCCGGTATGCGAAGGAATGCCCACATCCGCGAGAGCTTGCCACCTCAGTTGGGCATTGATGGCATCGGCCCGAGTCTGGGTGGCCCGATGTCTGCTGGAGGATTGTTAGATCGGGTCATAGGCGACTCTGGGCAGGAGATGGAGGTCAAGGACGCGAGTGGGCGTTATAGGCATGCGCGGAGAGCGCCTGTCGATGAGAACACGCTCCAGCCTATGCGGAGAGTAAGTAAGGCCGGGTTGGAGAGTTCTTCGTATTCGCAGTAGGCTGCGTCTGATTCTCACTCTGATGGTCTCACTGGATTTTCTTTATTATTCTTGGTATCTGTTCAACCCGTTTTCTTTCTCATGCACTTTCTCTCTTTTTATTATATCTTTTTCGCTCGGTACGTGTGTTCTGCATTTGTTTGGATTCATGACTATCCTCATCTGTCTCTGTTTCATCGCATCTTCCATTTAGCGGGACGATGTTGACGCTCCTGGCTTATTTATTTGTACACAGAATTCAATTGCACCGATACAACCACCAGTGGTCCTGCCACTGGACACTCCCGATGCACTGACCATACCCTTAAGTGGCGCATTTCCAAATTTATGCCACTTCCTTGAATTTCAGACATCCTTGTTAGGAACGAAATACTCTGCTCAGTAACGTGCTGACATGATCTGTGCGAAACGTCGTGAAGCGGTCACTAGGATGCAAATACATACTCGAATCTGAGAAGTATGGCGATATCAGACGTTACTTTACAATTGTCAATTTAGATACAAACATAGCTTTAGAAACAACTTATTCCTACATTCTCAATGGGAAGGGAATAAAAGGGATCTTGCTGAGTTGCTCGACTGCTTTGAACAGTTCCTTGTCCTCTTCCGCCACAAACGGGACCTGGGTGTCCGACGATACCGGCAATGGGGGGAAGGGCTTGCCGATAGGACTGCAGACGGTCCCAGGTTCAGGTAAGGTTCCATGAACAAAATAGTCTCGGATGTATTTTTGCGTGCAAACGGAAGGTGAAGAGTATGAGCAATGCTGTTGAGGGACACGAGATCACCTTCAGAGAAAAATAAAACGTGGACAAAACTCACCCCTGGGGAATCCTGAGTAAGAACGACCGAACCGTTAAAGAAATGGGACATCTTCTTCGCCCTGGTATAACGCGGTCAGCCGAACACAATGAGAGCAAAGTGTGAACGTACGACGCCAGCGGAGTGACAGGGTCTGAAGCTCTTTGAGTCTGGGCCCAAATGGCAATGAAATCTACTCACCAGCCGTGTTTCCGACCAGGAGAATCGGATGACTGGTATTGGAGTCAAAGGGACCTACAACAATCCGTTGGCGGAACAGTCAGTGAACCCAAAGAGTTAAGATTAACCTTGGAAGTGATCCTTGGGGAACTTGGGCCATCCACTACGATCTTGTTAGTAAAGGCAGAGTTATTGGATCGGGAACCTACTTACACACAACTCAGCCTAATGGGAGACCATACGTCAGCCCAGCTTGATGTGTTTGCCATCCGTTCGAAGTATTCCTGCGTAGACTTTAAATCATCAGGAATATCGTCGCCATCGTTGCACAAAATGGCAGTCTGCGCGTCCCAGACTACGTCGTAAAGATGCTCTGAGGGATCGCAAGAACACTGGAAAGGAGGGGCTTTGACAAACTCGAGGAGACGTCCGCCATCACCAGCGGCCAGTTCGGCGAGTCCCTGAGCAAGGAACTGGAAGAAGTGGTACGGAGCATAGAGGCATATGAATATTGCCAGGCGGACGGAGTTGTAATCCAAGATGCCATAGTTGAGGTCCGTCCTTACAGGCAGCGGACGCGCCCGAATGGACTTGATTAGATTAGTGAAATTTTGGCGGACGTCATCTGCGGTTGGAGCCCAGAAGGCACAGCTGAGCGGACCGGCCTCTGCACACCCGGAGAAGAATTGGTCTAAGCCTTTGTTGGTGTCGAGGAGGTTGTTTGACCACAGAGCTATAAGAACAAGGTAAGATCGGTGAAGAGGCTTTGACGCATATCAAGAACTTACTTGCGTAGTAATTCTCAGCATCCAAGACTCCGTCAAGCACCAGTCGCTCTACTTTGTCCTGAATGTAGTTCACAGAGAGGCTCGAACTTGCGCCAGAGAAATTCGCTTACAGGGAACATCGCAGCAAAGGTGGCACCGAGGACGGAACCGTAGCTAAAACAAGCGATTTAATAAAATATCCAGGCGTTTAGTGCGCTGATTAACGTACGAAAAACCCCAATACTGGATCTTCTCCCTTCCATGGGCCTCGACTATGCGCAGCATGTCACGGGCAGTCTGATCTGTGTTGATATGCTTCAAATATCCATCATCGTTCTCTGCAGCAAGCTGCCCGAGTAATCTTGCAGACGCCCATGTTCGCGCTATCCCTTCGTACGAGTTGTTCGATACGGTTCCGAGCATGCTGAGGATAGTAGGTCCCCATAGAGCACGCTCAACGTCAGTCTTGAAGAATGATGCGCGCGGAAAGGAGCGGCCAACGCCTAATCCCAGTAAACTTTGGGTCGAAAAAAAAAATACAATGTACGTACCTCTTGAGTCAAAGCCAACAATGTCAAACTGAGGACCAAGGATGCTGGCGAATAAATCTCCCATCTGCACGATCAAGTCCACACCGCTGAAACCGGGCCCTCCTGGGTTGAAGAGAACGGGCCCACGGTAGAACTTCGACGATTTTGGGACCAAAGCGGGCTTGCGGATCAAAGCGATGACTGCTTGTTCGCCTTCTGGGTCGGAATAGTTCAAAGGTACCTATGGGATGTTGAGAATGCGGACGTGGAATTCTAGAGAGAGCTTGGTACAGCCAGACGTGCGCATTGGCGCCCCGGAACACAGTCTACCCAGACAAGATCTTTGCTAGGAATGACCTGCTGATTCAGAGTTACACGGGCACTTAGTACGCTGAACACGAAACAGAGCTTCGAGGTGACATACGTCCTCCCATAAGAATTGGTTGGGCGCCGCTGCATTTCCACAGCCCACGGTGTGCGATTCTTTCAGACGATCTTGAATACGAATTTGAAACTGCGGTTGCACAGAAGAAAGCCTCCAAAGAGCATAAAACCAAAGAAAAACGATGGCAGTCGCGAGGACCCCAGCGATTATGCGACCTCGGAACATGGTGAGAGGGAGAGGGCTTTTTTGATAGACATCGGGATTCCGCGTTGTGGTCAAGACCAACTTTGCAGCCTCGGTCCTTCGGTTTTAGCCGCCTAAATTTAGAGTTTGGGTCTAGGACGGCGGCGGTCCGGGTGACGTCACCGCCATAGAATCAGCAAAAATACGAGTGTTCTTTTCCCACCACTTCTTGATTTCTTCCTCTTCCAAGAGGAACGGAAATAGAGGTCCGTGTATAACGACAAGCAAGAATATCTGTAGGACGGATTACTGGTCGGGCCCCGAGCTGCCCAGTGGCTAGTATGGGTCAGGAATCTTCAGGTATAAGAACCTAAGCCCAACTTATTGTCTGGACTCAGTTCTCTACTCCAAGCACGATGCCAACAGCACCTCAAGGCGGCAAAGCCCTAGTGTCCGGCGCGAACGGTTATATTGGAATGTGGACCGTCCAGACTCTCCTCGAGCGTCGCTGTAGCGTGCGCGGGACGGTTCGCTCAGTGGATAAGGGGAAATACTTGAGCGACTACTTCAGCAAAGCTGGCTTTGGAGATAAGTTCGAGGTTGTGGTCGTTGAGGATTTTTCGAAGGTGCGTCGGCATCTGCACAGTTGGCTATGAAGGCTAAAAAGTAGTTGCTTTAATGGAATACAGGAGGGTGCATTCGACGAAGCGGTCAAAGGCGTTGATGCCATCCTGCACACGGCGTCGCCCTTCCACTGGGGCGCGAAGAACCCACAAGGTCAGTTATCTTCGTCTCGGAATTACGACACAAATGACAACAAGCTGACAGAGTTCATAGTCCCTGCTGTAGGCGGAACGTCCGGGGTCCTGAACAGTGCATTGAAATATGCGTATGTTTTATTTCTCACAGACGCAGATTCTTCGGTAAGATATATAATTGCCTATGGCAGACCGAACGTGAAGCGAATCGTGATCACATCTTCCTGCGCTGCGCTGATCAACACGGGACTTTCCAAACCCACCGTATTCACGGAGGAAGGTTGGAATGAGACGGCAGTGAAGGAAGCCGAGGAGCAGGGAGACAAAACGCACCCTGGTGTCATTTACTGCGCCGCGAAGGTGCTAGCTGAACGCTGTAAGTTGTCCACCTTGGTTTACTGACCTGTGCTCAGGGTGATGAACTACAGTCGCGTGGAAATTCTACGAGGAGCACAAGTCGGAAGTGGGATGGGGTATTACTACTATCCTACCGGCCTTCGTATGTTTTTCCATCACCTTGTCGTGCTGCTCGCTTGTCTGGGGCTCACATCGAGCTGCTAATTACTATGTAGGTCGTTGGGGTAAGTCGTTATTTTCCTCGAAAGTGGACGTCGCTCACGGTCTAAACATGGACAGCCACCTATTCAAGACGTCTCCTCGCCCACATCGTTGAATCAATCTCTTCAGATGTGGTATGACAACGTCCTCTCAGGCTCGGCCAAGAAAGCGACCCTTGCGCAAGCAAATACCTGGGTGGACGTTCGCGACATTGCGCTGGCCCATGTCCTAGCTATGGAGAACAAAGCCACGGGAGGGGAAAGGATCATTGCCGCAGCTGGTACGTGCCAAGTGCACCTTAAATATAAACTGGTTGCCCATCTTAGTGAATTTCTTTAGGAGTGTGCCTATTGCAAGATTGGGGTAAGCTTCGTTGTATCTTCACTTCGAAGTTCGTGCAAACGTACGAACTGCCATTCGCGACAGTCGAAACGGCGAATGCCCTTCAACCTAACCCTCTGCCGTCGTGCAAGCTTTCGGTTGGGTTCCCCGAGACCCTTGAAGGAGAGAGGGTGTATCACATGTCGTACTCGAAGGCGAAGGAGGAACGAATTCTGGGGATCAAGTTCCGCACTATGGAGGAGACGACCAGGGCTATATTTGAGGAGTTTGCCAAGCGCGGGTGGTGAAAAGTTGATTAGATAAGATCAGGATCTCCTCCCGATCAATTGTGTGGCGCATTCGAATCAATCGAATCAACTATTTGATTGTGACCCTCGAGCGCAACCACGTCTTCCTCTTCCTCTTAATACTAGACCATGGTTGAAATTCTCGTCTCCATTTTCTTCATTTTCATCTAGAGGATAAGAACGTGAAAGACTGCGCACGTTCGAAGGTTCTAGATTCGAAGATTTCACGCTCGTGTGCACTCACCAATCTTTGGGGAAGACTCTCCCGGGATGGGGCACGGAGGCCGGGGACGGAAATGTAGCGGATCAAATGTGCTCTGAATAGGCAGGAATGCCAAGGACGAGCACGTTTGTAGATCAAATTGTGACCTGATGTGATAGCTGGCGTGACCGGCCCTCATATTTTCAACTCCTTTTCACTCACTGGCCATCGCCATGTCCGTCGACGCCGCACGAACTAGGACGCTTCACAGCAAGAGATCGTTCGGGAAGTACCCAAAGGTTATTGATTCACCGGCATACGACGCGTGCGTCTCTTCTCTCTCCTTTATCTGAACTCTTATCCAATTATCAGATGCTCAGATCTGAGGAGGACAACGACCCTCTAACCGACGACGGACTCTCAGCGGTGTCAGTACCGATCAGACATACCAACCCCAACGCACCCAGTCGTTCTTCCCACCTGAAACCCTCCTCGACCTCCCGCACGAAACATCTAGCGCAGCACCTCTTGTCAGATTCGGACGGAGTGGACTCTCCAACATACGACGGTGACGTAGAGTCAAGCACCACTGCGGGCGCAGACACCCCCGCATCACATAAAGTGAATCACCATCACCACCACCAGAGCTCTGTCTCCTCGATATCTACCCTCAGCACACCGGTTACCCCAGCCTTCGCGCCAGCTATCTCTTCAGGAACAACCCCGAGCGTAGAAGTTGCCAATCCAATGCGGGCGACAGACCCCGCGTCCAACCACCCCGTCTTCATCTCTTCTCCGCCTGTAAACACTTCAGCAGCGCCTCTGATTGTTACTGAGGAGCCAGCGGTCCCCGGAGTGTCGAAGGAGGCATTCAATCCTGCAGCTGTCACTATGGAGGACATCCAATCGTTCGTCGCAAAGGCCATCGAAGGCGAGGAGGGAAGAGACTACAAGATCAATCCCCCTCCAGTTGGTCGCCCTGTGCGAATCTACGCCGACGGTATGTCTCTGTCCTCGTACGATCTCCTCGTCCTCTTTTTTCTCCCTCTCCTATTCGTACGTCACTTCATTCTGATCTCAATCACATGATAGGCGTCTACGATCTCTTCCATTTTGGGTATGTGCTCCTCGATGTGACATTCTTGGACTCCGTCTGACGTCAATGGATGCTAGGCATGCACTCCAGCTACGACAGGCAAAGCTGTCATTCCCGTCAGTTTACCTACTCGTTGGAGTGAACTCTGATGAGCAAGTGTGGTCGCACAAGGCTCGTACAGTCATGACTCATGCAGAGCGGTACGCGTTGTGCCACTTCCTGTTGGAAGCCTTGCTGAATGGGTCTTTAAACAGATTGGAAGCCGTACGACATTGCCGATGGGTGGATGAAGTTGTCGCGGAAGCGCCCTGGGTGATAGACGAAGAATTCATGAAGAAATACCAGGTTGACTATGTCGCGCACGATGAAGAAGCGTATGCCAGTGCAGGGATCGACGATGTGTATGGATATGTGAAGAACCTTGGTGCGACGTCCGATATCTATTTCTCATCCTTCTTTCGTATTCTAACGCGAATGTATGCGCATAATCAGGCAATTTCATCCCCACACGACGCACCCCGGGCGTGTCCACCTCCGAACTGCTAGAGCGCATCGTGTCTGGATATCGCAACCGTGTTTTCGACGAGAAGTTGACGAAGATGGGACATGCCGAGCTCCGCGCTGAAGGCAGCGATTACGACGACCAGAGCCGGGATAATAGTCGATGGGCAAGCCGACGAGAAAGTAGGAGTGGCAGCCCGACCCAAACAAGCCCGACGCAGCTTAGCCCACCTCCGCGGTAGTGGTTATAATGGAAACGACTTGTTATATACGACTTGCATTCCCGCTTATGAAGTGGAGGAAGTCCCGTAGTAGAAAGTTATTTATTTTTGTGTCGGACAAGGTCGAAGCGCCCGTGACTCCCTCTACTTCTGACCTAAAACGGAACGATGACTCCCTAAAAAGGATGCCCCACTACTCATCTCCCGTGCCATCATACCCTGAGCCATCTACTCCAACGAGGTGTCGAACAGGAAGCTCGAGAGGGTCAAAGGTCCAAAGCTGATTTCGAGAGTTCTAATATATGCCGCGTTACTACGATATGGTAAATAAAATGGGCAGGACAATGCCTTACAGACAAGGGCGAGAGAAAAACTTGGTTCCTTCCGTTGCGGGGTACCACAGTTAACGCTAGAGGGACATTCGTCACCTCGGGGGAACTAATGCTAATTCTGTGGAATATGAAATAAGAAAACATCGCTAACAGAAGAGTATTTGGAATACGAACGAAAAGCCGAAACCTCCTATACTTCTGAGCTGCCAGGCAGCCCCGGCACTTGCGTTCAGCTTCCCGACTAGGTCTCCATAGGTGACTTCATTCCTTTGTGTCTCAAGGAAGCTGTCCATCTGCACATTTCGCAAACGAACTCTGCCATTTGAGAGCGGTTCTACGTCCCACTGGTAAAGTCACATCCAAGTAATGGTGAGGCTTTATGATACCAGTTCTCGAATGCAGAACTCACAGGCTGATGCTCTGTGTTGTTTCGGTTTGCACTCATTGTGAAGATCAGGTTTTCTTCGTCCTCGTACAGGGGCGGTGCTTTGGATGGCTCTTGAAGTGGCTGCCCAGCCACAGCCATATACAGCCCAAGGCCGCCGAAGCTGCGGATGAAGTAGACATCTCGCGGGATAGACGGCCATACTGCCGTGAACTTCCATCTCAGGTGACTTGGTGCAGTCTTTTCGGAGAAGAACAGGCTGTGTTAGAGCTAGAAATTGTGCCAATTACAAAGACACATACTTGGGCTGTAGAAGTGATGTCGTGGAAACAAACAGGCTAGATAGATAATGATGGGGCAATCAATAACTCGACGCAGTGTGAAAAAGGTCGACGAACCGCTTCACTGCTGCGTGCACCGAGGAAGAACCATGTACCAACAGATAGATTGAATCGGATACTGAAGGCAACGGTTTGAGATAAAGGATAAATGAACGCGGAGTCGATCATACATGTATTCGTCCTTTGTTGCGTCTCGATCGACCGTCCATTGCAACGCTCGATTTGCATCATACGTCACCCATACTTGATGACCTCCTCCAAGGACCTGGTAAGCCATGACTCGATTACCTGCTGTCCCATCCCCAGCACCCGACCAGCCCACGTTGCGGAGATGGTAGCCTCCAGGCTTTGGAGCATCAATGAGGGACCACTAAGAAAGATTACCATGTCAAAGATGCAATGCAAACACCGGACTGGTAGAAACTTACCTGCTGGTTCTCTGACGCTTCCTTCGCCACTCTCAGAGTGAAAGGCGCGTTCTCTCTTCCCTCGCCCATCTCCAGAAGAGTGCCGTATTCCACATTTTGGAATCGATAGGTTTCACCGACGATAAACATATTGGGTGGTGAGTCGTAGAGAATCGGCTGAGACGTCGCTATGCAGGGTACTCGAAGGGAAGTGGTTTTGGAGACGATTACTTATACCATTTCGCGCCCAGTAGTGATGCTGTGTTATATCTTGCGAGTTACGGCCACAACTGACCGTCGGCAAACGCGAAAGGTAAAATGGCTGTGGTTCAGAAAGGCGAGGAGCGTCATGAGGCCATCCAAAGTTCTTGAGTGTCACTTACTCCTGCAGGCAGGCGAATATCTCATCGAAAAGTAATTGGGGTACATCCTCGAGAGTCTACGCCTTTGAAATAATTTAGCCAACTCCAAAACACAGTAGACTCAGAGCACATACCTTTCCCGACTCTTCCCTTTCTCTTTCGCCATCTCTCCCTCAAGCCGTCTTCTTGTAACTTACGAAGCTGGATGAATTCAACTCGAGGGTTTGTGAACAGATGTGTGCTCGTATTTGCGCCGCGTGATGATAGAACTCAGTGTAGCACAAAGCTTCTTGCCTTCCGCCTCGTCGCTTCTGCTGGGCAGCAGACCGCAGGCGCCGTAATGGCTTTCTTTTCTCGACCCCAATCCGCTGCTGTCAAAATCGTGAAGCCCAACTCCGACGAGGGTGCGTTAAGACCAAAGCAAACACCCCCACCCCGGAAAGGTCAATAAATTCTTGGAATTCGACAGTGTAGCGTTTGGGTGCACTGGAGTCTTTCATAGAGTGAAGGGGCTTACCATTTTCACCTTCAGGCAGCGGAGAAACTCCTTACAATAATAGGCAATGCCGAAATGTTGTTATCTATGGGTGAGTTATGGATGCTTTCTTGATTCCTAGACTGACCCCAATCGCTAGGCATTGCAAGTTTCAAGACAAGGGATGCACGTATCTCCACCCAACGGTGTGTTTCCTGGCTGTACAGTAGTCGAATGTCCAATTAATCGATCTCCAAAGCAAACCGCTGAGGTACCCGAACCTACGTACGTCATTTGCGACCCTTTCAGCCTCTATTTGACACTCGTTCAGCCCTTCTTCTCATGGTACCCGATCGAAACAGCAAGAGCCACCCACTGCTAGTCCTCTCGCTCAAGCTATCAACGCACCTGCCTTTGTTCCTCCACGCGCGGCTTCACGTCCTGCTGAGGGTTCTCCTTCCCTGACTCCGCAAGCAGCAGTCTTTGTTCCTAAAACACCTGCCGGAATTGCTGTCGCGCGGAATACGGCTGCTTCCCCACCTCCGGCGGACTCGGTGCACTCCATCGCTGCCGCTTCGTGAGTTTCTTCCTCTTCCACCTGCCTACGTAACCTTAAGGAACGTAGATCCATTTTGCGGACAGAGCCAGAGGATCGCCAGCAAGAGAACGGTCACGAGCTACAGCCGGACGCAGAGCAAAATGGACACCAGGAATACGGATATCAGACCGGGTATGAGGACTACAATTATCAAGGAGCACAAGACGTTGTACGTTTCTTCACTCTTCACCCAAGTCGAAGCTAACGCCGTTTTAGACAGACTCGCCTTACTTTGATCCTAATCAACTGGAATATCACCCTCACGGATACGACCACGACGCGTCCTATTTCGCCCACCCCCCAATGTTCTTGCGTCAACCAGTAAGCCTAACGCTGGTCTATGCTCTCGACATAAAAACCAAAAACAACTCGTAGCTGAACTACCTGCTCTACACGCCGTCCATGCCGTCCCAGCTTATCCGGAACACGATCAACACCCACTTTGTGCCACCGTCCAACGATCTCCGACAAATTCTGCAAGAAAGAAGTGAGACGGCAAGAGGTGTGGCACCAGCAGGTTTGGGCCTGCCTGAGGAGTTGCAAGGATACCACACTCTTGTCCCCTTGGAGCCAACCGGAAATGCCGAACGAAGGAAGATGGTCAATTGGCATTCAACGGTGTATCGGGCTATCAATGCCACCGATGGGTTGCCCTATGTGCTTCGGAGGGTTGAGAGTGTGTGGCTTTCCCCTTCTCAGCATACACTGGTCTCATAATAGACAGACTACCGCCTCATGCATCAGGCCGCGTTCGCGCCGATCGAGCTTTGGTCGCAGATCCAGCACCCAGGCGTCGTCGCTCTCAAGGAGGCGTTTACCACCAAGTCATTCAACGACAGCTGTGCGCAAGTTCTCTAATAGACCGTCAGGATCTCATGCTCTCCTTAGCCCTCGTGGTGGTGTATGCGTACCACCCTAACGCGAAGACTCTCTACGAAGCCCATGTGAAGCCTAAACCCCAGACACAGCAACAGACCGTGTTCTATGGGCGTCACCACCACCGCCACCAGCAACAACAAACCCAAGTCATGCCTGAAAACACACTCTGGTCGTACATCGTCCAAATCGCCTCTGCGATCAAGAAGGTGCACGAGCGGGGTCAGGCCGTGCGCATGATCGACGTCTCCAAGATCATCGTTACGTCGCAGAATCGTGTCCGGATTGGCTCGTGCGGGATCATCGACGTCCTTCTGTATGACACGCAGCAGGACGCGAGCTTCCTCCAGCAGGAAGATCTGCTCGCGTTTGGCCGCCTTATTTACATCTTGTGCACGAACAACTTGAGCGCCGCGAACCAGCAGAACATGCCTAAGAGCATTGATGCTGTAAAGAGGCTGTACAGCGCCGATGTGCAGACACTGGCGCTGTACCTCTGCAGCAAGATGCATAAATCGATCGAGCACGTTTTGGAGATGGTCAAGGGAAGGATCTTGGCAGAGCATGACGAGGCATTAATGTATTTTTTTTCAACCTTTGACTTCGTATGTACCCTGATGATTTTCGTCTTCTGCAGGGCCACGGATCGTCTGGAGTATGAGCTGCTCGGTGAATTGGAGAATGCCCGTTTGTTCAGGCTGATTTGCAAGTTTGGTTTTATCAACGAGCGGCCTGAGTCCGTAATCCCTCCTTTTCTTGCCTTCAGAGCCTGTAAAGCTGATAGTCTAAATGACCCAGGTTTGCTCGTGACGCCCGCTGGTCCGAAACAGGAGACCGGTACATCATCAAGCTCTTCCGGGATTACGTCTTTCACCAGATCGACGAACATGGTAACCCGGTGCTCGACCTTGGCCATGTGCTCACCTGTTTGAACAAGCTCGATGCTGGCACGGACGAGAAGATGATGCTGGTTGCGCGGGACGAGCAGAGCTGTTTGGTTGTAAGCTACAAGGACGTGAAGACCTGCATTGCAAATGCTTTTGAGTGAGTTCTCTCGCTCGCGTACGGACTCTCGATGCTCACCCGTTCTTTATTTTATTGTAGTGAATTGATGCGTGCGACGACTGCTAGCCAGACAGGAAAGGACCCTTATAGTAGGGGGTGACCGACGTGAAGACCTGTCTCGCTATGCGCTTTTGAAAATAGGTAGAATCAGAAAAAGACTCGCAAAACACCCTAAAAATGTCATGGCTTTTTTGTTCGCAACCGCTCAAGTGCATCAATGAGCCATCGAGCATCGAGCCTAGAGTGCAGAATGACCATTTTTCATATTAGATGAACAGAACGAATTGCTGGTCTTCAATCTACCTAGTTGCTACACCATCCTCTCATCGCACCCTACCACACCCAAATGAATGTGATCCTGAGAAGGGCCCCTCTTTCAAGGGCAACCTCTTGGACATATACCGTCCGAGGCTCTGGGTGAAAGCCTACTTGCATTGATATTGACTTGACTGTTAAGGTGGAGATGGCAAGGGGCCATAATATTTCTCCAAAACTCAAGCCAAAGTCTGCCTCGGTAATTGCCGATATGGCGTCCGTAGTCCCTTGCCTCCATCCTTCATCATTCCTCATATGCATTCATCAAACCATGGAGAATGTGACCGAAGTTTCTGGATATAACGTCTCAATCTGTTCGTACAACTGGTAAAGTAAATGCTTCAAGTCCATGGTTAAGAGATACTGATACTGAAAACTAATTCAACAGAATAGAGCATGCTTCAAGAACGGAAAGTTATACATATAGCCCAGTAACCCTTTAAAATGTAAACAACAAGACTACTCAACTGTGATGCATGTGAACGCGCAACGACTTGGATCTTGAAGCTTGAAAATCTGAAGGGCTCAGTCGGATATGCGCTGCCATCAGGCATTCGAAATCGCTGGCGCCTTCTTCACCCACTCCCTCTTCTCGAGCTCTTCAATGCAGAAGGCCGCATACGCCTTCCGCGCCAATACTATACCCAACCCTGGAGTCCCGACATAACCAGCAACAAATTTCTCTGAGTTCCCATTCGACAGCATCGGCACCCGGACGATGGTATAATCCAGATCGGCGCCTTTCGTGGTGACCACCTTACCGATCCCTACCATCTCGGAGTACATGCTGTTCGCAATGTTTCGGATGACGGTGACGAGCGTGGTGAATTTCCATTGCTTCCCGTCGTGCTCATCGCGGTGCGAAGGGGTCGCAAGTGGCATGAAGCGCTTGATGTTATGTTTGTACAGGAGGTCGATGAAGTGGCCGTAGAAGTCTGCGATAGGTGTGCCGACGGTTTGGAATGGTATCGGCCCCAGCGCGGAGATAACAGCGTCTACGCCTTCCAGAGCCTGCTCGACTTTGTCAAGTTCGTCAAGCGTTCCCTGGATGACTGTGACAGAAGCGTTGTTCTGGATGTCGTTGGGGAGTTTCTGTGGATTGCGGGCGTAGACGACGATGATGTAGTCTGGGTGGACTGCGAGGGCCTTGCGGATGAGTGCGATGCCGCAAGGTCCTGTTGCTCCTAGAATCAAAAGACGCATAGCGAAGAACGGTGGCTGTTAAGCCTCGAAGGGCTATTGGTACCCGCTTTAAATGCTCGAGGACGGACCATCCACACTTAGCACAGTGCACAGGCCAATCCCAGTTGCGCAGCTAGGGCGCCTTCCATGACCTAGATTCTTGGTTCACCTGACCGCCAAGCCATGATAAGCATTCGCGATCTCGAACCATTGGATCTCTGATTAACAAGGTGCGCCTTCATCGTGTGCGTAGTTAGAAACTTAGAATGCTCTTCTAACTGCGGCTTGCTTTTTAGTAGTGTCTGTTATTTCTATTGTCTATTACAGAGCGGGCGGTAGAATCGCGAAGTATATAGGTTTCCAAAAAGAAAAGAAAAGAGGTGGTACTGTAAGAGTAGTCCTACTTCATTCAAGCATTCGAAATCGCTGGCACCTTCTTCACCCATCTTCTCTTCTCTAGCTCGTCAATGCAAAACGCAGCATACGCCTTTCTTGCCAACATCAACCCAATCCTTGGATCGCCAATGTAGCCAGCTGCCACCGCGTCTGAATCGGCGTTGGTCAATACGGCTACTCTCACGATCGTATAATCGAGGTCTGCTCCCTTGGTCGTGACCACCCTACCAATCTCCACGACCTCGTTGTACATATCCTTCATGAATGTGTGGACCATACCGACGATCAAGCTGAACTTCCAATTTCGCTTGTCTTCCGGAGCCGGGAAGGAGGCAGTCGACGTCGGGATGAAGCGCTTGATGTTGTGCTTGTACAGGAGGTCGATGAGGTGCCCGTAGAAAGTCGCGATTGGTTTAATGCCAACCTGGCCTGGGATGGGCCCTAGCGCGGAAAGCACGGCGTCGACACCTTCTAGTGCTTGGTCGACCTTGTCCAGCTCGTCGAGGTTGCCTTTGACGATGGTCACCGATGGGTTTTTCTGGATGTCGTCGGGTAACTTGTTGGGAGAGCGAACATAGACGACGATTGTGCAGTCGGGGTGGACTTGGAACGCTCTGCGGACGAGTTCGATGCCGCTTGGGCCGGTGGCTCCCAAAATGAAGAGGCGCATAGCGAAGGATGTGGTGATAGTGGGGCCGACTCTTGTGTACGATGACACCACTTCTTATACTCTCGACGAGCAACGGTGATCGAGCAGGCGAAGCAAATCCTATTAGCAAGCTCTCAAAGCAGATGGCATATCTCCATCGCGTAAGAAACTTACGGATGAGGACGATGATCAATGAGCCTCGTCAAATCGGCAACTTGGCGGCGACCTTTTTGGGAGATGCCCGACACAATTGATCCGTCGATGCCAAGAACTGGTGCCAGTGAGCGGATCAATCCTGCGAAACGGGAGATATCCACCACTCAGGCCTCCGCTGCCAGCAAAACTCAAAACTGACAAAGAAGACCAGCTTTGAATCCTAAATCCAGAACGGCGTAGAACATTAGTCTATGAAGTGGCACGTTCTAGGTGACCACGGCCTCATTCCTCCGTCCAGGCGCCGCTCGGCCTATAGACAGGCGAGGCCCGCTCATCTCAACATTTTTCCTGTCATCTCACTGTTTGGCCAGGCTTCTTTCCACCTATGACTTCTGCACTTATAATTCGAAGGAAAAGGACATCGCCTTTGAATCGGCTTTATCGTATGGCTTCTATAGATCGCATTTGTGAAGGGATATCAAGGTAAGTCTCACGACGAGTAACAGGGAAATTGCGGATCGCGGTGCTAATATACTGCTTTCAGTAACCCAGATATCTCTGTGTATGTTTACTTACCAAGATATTGATCACAGGTCACTAAAACTGATTTGCCTCCGTGAAGGACCCGGCGTACGCATCGCACTTTACCTGCAGTCCCTGCTTTCCGGTGAGAAATGCCCTCTCTTCTTCCTCTCAGAAGTGAATGGACTGACTAGCGTCAATGAACTCTAGTTATCCTCGTACGAGTCTCACCAAAGGACGCTCCTGGTGCCTACTGGTCGATGACCTCAACTGCCATCTCTTTGATCATCGCAAGTGTCATCACCTCAGCCCAGCGGAAGATATCCTTACTCGACGCGATCGTGGTCGTGTACGGTGCGTAATACTCGTATTTCTTCGTTTATTTGGTCTCACGATTTGCCACCTTTCAGTTCTTCTGCTGCCTGTGCTTACCTCCGCATTTGGCCTCTCCGAGATGCTGGAACCCTCACAGAGAAAGGGTGGCACCCATCCGGTGCACTCGCCTCTTCTCGTCATAGCGAATTGGATGCGCTCCGCCTTGACCTACGCCTTCGCGTTGTACGTGTGGATCGCCGCGCCAACTCTTGGTTCTGGTCCTCCAGAGTGCAACGAGGCTACACGGCTTATCTTCTTTGGGGAAAGCCTGCCAGCATTGGCGAGCGGTAGGTTCCTTAGTCTCGTCGTGTGGGGGATTGCCACCGTTTTGTTTATCAAGCGGACGATCAAGGGCTCGAGGACGATTAGCATCGCCTTCCAGGCGCTTTTTCCGACATTGCGAGCCAGGCGTTGTTGCAACCGAAAGAGCGCCCGAAGAACGAAGTGCTCCAAGAGTGTGTCACCGTAGTTGATTTTGCTACTGGAGACACAACAGACACGTACGTCCTCGATTATAATTCCCAGACTTTACAGTGATAATAAATTTCATTTATAGGAGTCGTTTCATGCAACCCCGACAGATCTTTTATGGAACCATCAAAGGAATGACTGATCGCATTCTCACCTGGTTACCTTCTGGGACCGAACGTTGGTACCGACTTTATGGAAGGACGGCGCTTATTGGTCTTGTACGCTTATTCGCGGTCCTTCTAACGCCTGAAGATCTGAATTTTCGCTATACTTAGCTGGCTTCGTGCGCTATTATTATGACCGAGCTAGAACTTCTTTTGAACAAATTGGAAGTGAACGTCAATCGCGAGTGGGGGTTCGGACAAGTACAATTGATTTCTTTTTACTCGAGGACACAAGTTTATTTGATAATCATAGATCCTCCTGCTTTTGACTCTCTCTCCCCTCCTTTCCCTGTACGAATCAATCCTCTCGCGGAACTCCACCGGACCTACTACCGAGACACGCCTTATCCGATTTTACATTCGCCGAGCAAAGGGCCTTCAGCGCCCACGCACCGAATTCGACGCGTACCTTCCAGACATCATGGATCGCCTGCCCGAAGTCCTGCGGAAGGCGCAGACGCCATCTCCGTTTGCCGTCGTCACGATAGACGAGCGGGAAATGTACACTTCACGAGTGGAGGAGAGCACGTGCGATCCGGACTGGGACGAAAGCTTCGACGTTCGGGTTGGTGACTTGTCGACGATTGTCGTCCGCGTTTTCGACCGCAAGTGCATAGATCAGGGCTTGCCAGAGTTCATCGGTTTCGCCACACTACTGCCGTTTGCATTGATGCCTCCGCCATCGAAAGGGGGCGAACAAGGGGTTCAAGAAGCTCATGTCAAGGATGTTCCACTTGTTCGGGAAGGAAAGACGGTGCCCGCCATGGCGGTTAGTTTTTCGTTGTCGACAGATACTCGCGTACCGCCTGGTCTACCAGCGGTACCACAAGAAGTCGAGTTGCAGGAGATGCACATCCGAAGAAGAGTAGCTACGGCCCAACTCGGCGACCGGAAATGGGGACGTAAGAAGGATACTAGGACGTATGTTTATAACGTTCCTGATCAAAACGCTCTTGATTTCAAATTGTAGCTGCTCGTTAGTACATGGAAATGCACGTACACTGTAAACGAACCTAGTTAGAATGTCCCGTACGACCCTCGTTCTCGTTGTACGCTCTCAATCTCTCCATCAATCTCCGAGTCACCTCCACACGTCCCGTAGCAGTGGCAAGCCGAGTAGGTATGCGTTCCCTCTGTCCAAGTTTCCCTTGACTTTATATATACCCACTTGGCGCCCATTATCATCGCTATCCACACGGGGGCGAGAAGGACCGCGAATATCGTGAATATGATGAAGGGACCTAGGAGTGATGAAAACGCGATAATGGCATCACCCGTGGCTCCAGCGCGTGCACCGTGGAGAACGTCCATGCCCTCGAGGTCGACGCGACGGTGCAGCAAAATGGCAGAGCCAACGCTGCCTGACAGCGTGTGGATGGCGATCGGGCTGAAGAACTGGATACACGCCCAATACCAGGGTGCGCCGTCACGCTCACCACTGTTCTGTTCCTCGTTGGGTCGCGGGATACGTCCGCAAAGCGGGGTCAGAATCTTGACCATGGCGTTTTGGACCACGCAGGCGAGGGTGAATGCAATAGGTCCCCCTATCGCACCAACTGCTGCAGCCAGGCCGTGTCGCGGGTAGCCTGTCAAGTGCGCGGCGCGCAACACGGCGTTGCCGATGGATATGACGAACGCGCCTTGAGCAGCGAAAGACGCCAGTAGGAGACCAAGGACGAGCCTGTTAGAAGTATAGATAAGCCGAAGCAAACGTTCGAACAACAATAGCACTTACAACGCTTCAACAGCGAAACATGCCATCCCTGGGTAACAGTGACGGTAATGGAACTCGGAATAACTCACATGGAGGCAGATAATTGCAGGCCACCATCCACTGCGATTTCTGTTCGGTTGGCCAGGATTGTGCCTTTCGTTTGGTATCGTAACGGGTAATGGAATCCTGTCATTCGACGCTGGAGTTGGTTTCGGAGTGGCCGTGGGTTGCGTGGTGATAATGTTGACCTTTGAAGTTGAAGCATTGGGAAAAGAGTACATGAATGCAGGTGGGACAAAGTCGGAGCGAAGAACGAGACCCAGGGTAGGTTATATGTATCATAATGTATGACAGCATAAAGTAGTGCTGAAGGGAAACAGCATTCAGGAACAGGGGGTGAAGGCCGCTGAACCTAGAACTAGCCGCGACCACAACGCGTTGGTCGACATCGGTAAGGGAGACACCCGCGCACGAACAGCATCTGAGGACCCTCGAACCGAAATTCGCTGTTAGAAGGTATATTCCGGGAGGTGGAGGAAGACAAGGGATTCGGCAATGTCCGGCGTCGAAGTGTTCTATGCCGAGAGCAGCACACCGGGCCGAGCCCTTGAAGGTCCTTGGGTTCATTTCGCACTCTATCTTTTGACAATCAGCTACAATCACCCATGCACGATACGGCGCCTTTCACCTTTAAACTTATCCCTGGGGATAAGGTCACCGATGCCCAGTTCGAGGAATGCGCCATCTTGTTCTCCGAGAACTACGGCGTCTGGAGTTCGAGAGTATCGACACCACTCAAACCAGGTGAGTTCCCTCACCCTCCTTGTCAATTTTAAAATCTGACCGTTCTAGGGTAGGGGCGCGTGTTAAGATGAACTCAAATAGACTGAAGAAAGAAGTACTTGGAGACCCCACCCGAAGCATCCTGGCACTATGCACCCTTGATGGTGTTCATATAGGTCATGCTTTTGCAACAGTGTGGCCGTACGAAGGTATGCGTCTGAGTTGCCTTGAACTATGTTCTGCCGACTTACACCGAAATTTAGGGTCAAATGTCTGTTGGGTAACGCAGTTGGTTGTGGCATCCGGCTACCGCGAGCGGGGAATCGCCACCATGCTGCTTCAACTATTTCCCGGCCCCAACTTCAAATGTGATGCATTGGGAATCGCATCAACTCACACTGCTTCCTGTTGGGCCTTAGCCAAGCGATCCAGTAGGTTTTTTTCCAAGCATCCATGCTTTAATTTTCACGAGCCTTCCATTCCCAGACAAGCTGGATCTCGAATTCATCAAAACGCATGCTAAGAATATTTTGGATGCAAGCCCAGTTCCCTATCTCAAATTCGGCCTCCTCCGCGGATCCCTATTCCAGGATGATGAGGACTCAAATGTAGCCGTCTCTTCCATTTACACTGGGTTTTACGTCGATCCCGAGGAGCCGATCCGCGCCCTACATCGTTGGCAAAAAGAAAAGGGGACGAAGTGGCCATTGGGGGATCTTGCAGAGGGTAACGAGTTCCTCTGTATCATTCCCAATCGACAAAGCTAGCTGGCTTGAGACAGTGTGTGTTACGCTTTCCCCGCTTACACCATACTCAGATTACGAGAGGCTCAAATACCCACCTAAATCCTTTCGGGAGAGTTTAAGCGCCCATACCATATGGTTTGATTGTAACGATGATGAACGTTTGAGTGTCCTTGGGTTTATTCGGCGTTCTGTAGCTACTTGGAAGTTAACTGACCACTCCACTGCATATACGTTAGCATGATCGATGCTGGAGAAGGTGCGGGACGAAAGTCAAACGTATGCGCATCGTCATCTGGTGCCGCCGGTGACGTCATAAGCACAGGCGCTCCTTGATCGCATATATAAACCCCTTGGCAACTCTCCCATCTACCACGTCAACAAATATGAGACCTTCGATATTCCTCGTCACTGCAACCCTAGCGCTCGCCGCTCAAGCCTCTTGGTTCGGGGGCTCATCATCGTCTGACAACGACCCCGAGTACAAAAGCTGGAACACCAACGAGCTGCAGGCGTGGCTCGAGGTGCACAACGTCCCGATTCCGAAACACGCCCCAACCCAAGCAGAACTCAAGGATCTCGTCGAGGAGAACTGGGATACGGCGTCGGTGTGGACGTATGACCAGTATGCTTCCGCCCAACAAGCGTTCCAGGACCTACGGGAAGCCGTCTTCGAGACTTGGGACGAGTCTCGCCTGCGTCAATTCCTCCTCGAACACGGTGTCGTTGCGCCGAAGGGAACTCGCGAGAATCTTGTACTGTTGGCGAAGCAGAAACACAGGTCGTACACAAAGGCGGCGAGTTCGCTCTCGGCTGAAGCCAGCGCACGCGCAAGCACGGCGGTCTATGGCGACACGGCACATCAGATGAGCAAGAGCGTGTCGAGCGTTGCCTCTCAAGCCACTAGAGAGGCGACAGCGGCGTTTGACATGTCCAAGGACTACGTGTACTCGAGCTGGTCGGAGAACCAGATGCGTGCGTGGCTCCAGGAGCGAGGCTTGCTCAAGACCAAGGCCAAGAAGCGTAAGGACGAGCTCCTGCAGATGCTTCACGACGCGTGGGGATATGTGGCGAACCCTGTCTGGGTTGTTTGGAGCGACTCGTACATCGTGCGTACCTCTGATTTATCTCTGTGGTGCCTGTGCTTAGATTCGTTTTTTTAGCGAAACTGGCTTGTTGCCCAACATGTCATCAAATCCGACTACGAGGCACGCCGCGACGAGCTGGCCGGGCTTATGGAAAAATATTACTACAACACTCGCGATTCTGTTTACGACTCTTGGTCTGACTCTGACCTCAAGAAATGGCTCGTTGAGCACGGGGTCATGAAGAGCGACGCCAAGGCGAGCCGCGACAAGATGTTGAAGATGGTCGAGTGCGTGACTTCCTACATCGTTCTGTGAAATTAAGCTAATGTATATTCAGGGACAACTACATGTCCGCGAAGGATACGTTCTGGTCTGCATGGTCGGATAACGCTATTCGCGATTGGCTCATAGAAAACGGGTATATGCGCTCTGGCGCCCAGGCAAAGCGAGATGAATTGATCAAGCTGGCGAACGAGAAGTAAGCTTTACTCATTCTTAACTTAATACGAGCGCTCATAACGTGTAAAGATACGCCAGCGCCCACGCACAGATGGCGGAGTACTTGAAATGGCCTGACGCCCGTCTACGTGCCACGCTGCGTGCGCACGGCTACAGCGACGAACATCTACCAGGTGACAGACTTGGGCTCTTGCGTTCGTCCTATTTACCCTCATTCAAACCGGTTGGGCCTAATGTTTTGTCCTCAGAGGAGGTGCGGATCCGCTACGTCAGAACCCAAACAACCGCCGAGGCTATCTTCACTAAAATCAAGGACCTCGTCAATTCGGGGATCTACAAGGCCGAAGACGCCCTGCACCACCTCATGGCTATTCTGAACACAGGCTGGGAGGACACGAAGGAGAAGAGTTACGATGGGTACGAAGAAGCCAAGCACCGTGGGGATAGAGGGTGGGAAGATGCCAAGCGTCAGGCAGGCAACGCGGAAGGTTGGGCTGCGGAGAAGGTCAACGGAGCGAGGGAGAAGGTGGGTGAGAAGGTCAAGGTTGGGGGACAAAAAATCAAAGGGGAATTGTAAGGTGACCCCTCAGGCCTCATGCCGCATGTATTCGTGATTGGTGATTGGAATATTCTTACATTAGCCATGTGTACGATTAGTATGTAATATCACAAAGCTTGTTTCCTGTTATCACATTTTTAGCATTTTCTCACATTAGATGGGGACGTACCTCAGATACGCTGTGGACGCGCTCAACCAGTCGACGTCCTTTGACCATACGGCCCCAAGCTGGATGACAAATCAGCGACATGATTCGCTGATTAAATTTGTGTAGACGCATTTGTTAATTGATGTGTTGATGTGGCGCAGATCGACTGGAAGCGGGTAGGCACAAAGAAGCATCGAGGAAAGCAAAGCCCATGAGAAATGTGACGCGATTTTTTTTTTTTTTTTTTTTTTTTGAAGTCTTCCACGTAGGGTGTATTTTAGACGTACTCCAAATACACAAAAAATAGGGTGTTCGATCACAGTCCCTTGGAGGTAGGCTACACCTAAACAACCCTCCTCATCATCCCATCCCTCGACCCGCCGCCTTTGGTTGAAGCCCCATTGGGCGCCGAAGCTTCCAGCTGTTGAGACAGTTGGTGAGAGCTGACCAGTTTCCTTGCGGTTCGCTGAATCTAAACAATCAAGGGCTTCATGGTGTTAGTCCTTCCCAGCATTGGGCGCCGAAGCTTCCAAGCCGTCAGTCGCCTGCATGGTTGGTGTGCCGGGCCAACGCCATTGATGGGGGCAGCACATGTAGGTGCTAAGTACCCCTAACGAGATTGGATGGTTTGGAAGTGAAATGTTGAAACGAGTGACTCTGCCTTCCACTATGCCTTCCGCCCTCTGATACAACCCCACCCGCTTTCCTCCCCCATTTCCCAAACCCTAAGGCACGCATCCTGTAGCATCCCCCTACCATGCGAAGGCGGTCGAATATCTAGTGTTTCTCCCCAAGGGGTGTAGCCGGATCATAGGCAACACGGCTGATGATCGGAGACTAGCCTCCTCCCTCCATGGGTTGCCTTCCATGACTAGGTTGCGCCCCCGAAAGGTCTGCGCGAAGCAGAGCAAGACGGTACACGGGCTGCCTGTCAAGTAGGGCCATCAGTTGCGCTTTGAGGTTGTCGTAAACAAGGTCTTCGGGCCTCCAACAAAGCGATTGGGATACAACCACGCCGAAGTTGCGATCTTCTCCGATAAATAAGAAAAGGTGTTGGTTTAATGAATAGATAAGGAATCAGGCAATGAGTGGGGCCCGATGGAGGACGATGCCGATTAATGAGAGGAGTTCGGTAGTGTAGAGCACGGCCATGGTGGGGGCGACGAATTCCCACGGCCGGATGGTGATGGTTCAAAATCAAGAAGCGTCGAATGTGACGCGATTCAGAGCCCTGGTCACATAGAAGGACTCCACGTGTAAATCTTGTCCGAACTGCCGTCTTGGGGCTCATCAATCATCATATCATCAAGGTTCTACTTCTCCCAGCTCCAGTAAAGCCCACGTGTACTATCTCTTATGCTGCGCATAGAATGTAGCAAAGAAGGATTAGTTTCTGCCTCCCTTCACTGCCATGCTCGTTCTGATTCTGTCTTTCGTTCTGACTTTCACAGAGGCACCTGATTGAGCGAGACACTTCAAATTACCTGATTAATTGCTGACAACTAATATCCGACAATATTTTCTTACCTTGGTCAACTCGGTAGAGACACCGAAGCCTGGCCATGTCAATTTTGAATAGACCTTGAATGGGGCTCCGTAGCACTCGGCAACGTAACCCAAGTCGTTTGGCTGAACAGCTGGGGTCGAGAAAAGATCAAATAAACGGTATCGGAGAAGGAAGGTTCCTTCAACTTTTATGGTGAGGTCCTAGGTTTTGAAGGTTTGAGTATACCTGGCAAAAAAGAGACATCGATGAAGAGCTTATCCTATGCCGGCGGTGAAAAGCAGATTCTTGAATCCTTGATAGTCGACAAGAAGAGGTTGGACGCAGGATGCACCTGCAAGAAAACCCGTCTTCTTGGAGGTCTCGGTGATTCCTAGCGCCAATGTAGACTCGGGAACTGGGAACAGGTCGATGGAGCACAGCAACCCCACGATCTCGACTGTCCTGCAGATGGAAAGCAGGGCACATGCATAACAGACTTACACAGGAGAAAGCTGGGATGTACTCAACTCGTTGTTCAGTTCAGTCTCTGACTGGGAGGGCGTTCCAGGGGCATGAACGCGAAAGATCTTGAGGCGAACAACGGGGGGCGGATCGAGTGAACGGCGGCCATCCCCAGGAATGTGTCTTCAGCAAAGTCAAGTGCCGGTCAATCTAGAACTACTTCAGCATCATGCAAGAAACCTCACCTCCTGCCGGTTTCTGGTTTCTGTATTTCCACCAGCTCAAATCGTATGAACTGGCCCGCAAATTGGCCCGTGGTGAACGCAATCGGTTGCATAACGGCCTGTTTTGAGTAAGGGTGCGTAGGGGGCGTTCTTTAAGGGGCAATAGAACTAGAGAAAGCGAAGGATCCAAGTGGGCAGGTTTTATAATCGTTGAAGACCAAGAAGCGAGAAGTCTCGAGACGAAGACGATACTCATTGGTGCTGTGGGCTTCTTGTTCTGGCGTCATACCCAGACACGAGTACTCGGCGATCATAAATAAACTTTTGAGATATATTAAGCATCCTCATCTATGTCGAAAGGGATATTCGTTTCTGCGGATATCATCCCAGAGTCAACGGATACAGCGTTGTCTGAGGCAAACGTGCAAAAACCACTCAACATCGATCGAAAGAATATTTTTGCAACGATGACACACACGTCGCGTACTGTCGATAACCACAACCTATTGTCAGTGCTCCTGGAGCCTGTCCTCGAGGCTTTGGTTTGGAGTCTGGGTTGGCAGACTCATTCCCAAGACAGTGCACAAGCTTGTGTGATCCCGAGAGATGCTTGTTCCAGAGGCATTACATAGGCGTTCTCGAAGTCCAGAAGACTTATAAATGAAGAGAGATATAGTTGCGATACCACGGAACCCCGTTGATGATGCTTCCTGGGTGACGGCCCTGACATTCTTCTTAAGCGGCCCTAAGCTTTCTGGTAGCGGTGATTGTTTGAAGAGCACAACCTTGTTATTTGTTTAACCATCTTCAGCGATTGGGAAAGAGATTTGATAGTATTGTTTCGAACGGTGTCTGTTGAATGAGTAGAATTTAGAAGAACCTTGGATATTTCAGTCGATGGGGGCAATTCGATCCGGATCTTCTCTTGTTGTACCCTCTCTTCTAATGTGAAGACTTCGGGGAAGGCGTGGGTCGTTTACACAAGGACTAGTCTACCGTGAGCTGGTCTCCTATCGCGCTGAAGACAGGGAGTCGGAAACATCGGGCTCCCTCTCCAAATGTAGGTTGCACGCCGACGGCTGATGTATTTGGGAGCGCCACAGTGGCGAGCACCAATAGCCTTTGGTTGGTAGTTCGTGTTCGCAAACACACAAATTTCGGTCTCAAATCCGCTAACTTGGACGTATGTCCACCCGAGACGGAAATAATTTCCCACCCTATAGCGCCACATTTTGCCCGTCCATTTGCCATATTTGGCGGGTCTGGACATCTTCGGGCGCGAAAAGGCTTGACGTGGCCCTGGTGGTTGCCATTCATTAATTTACAATGATTGACGTTTGAATTAAATAATCTCAACCAATGAATCAACATCAGCAATTCCTGATTTTGTTATGCGTGCTATACGAGGGTACATAGCACTCCATAATTGGGGGGGTATCCCAATAGTTAAGGACATACATTACAGTGCTATGGTGTGTTACATAGCACTACGTAATGCGCCATAACATGCTATACCACCGAAATTGAGGCCGTTTTGACCCTCAAAATCATGATTTGCTGATGAACAAAATAACGATTCGCTGACCGCTTTAGTTGTCTTGCGCAACTTGGCATGAATTTACATGATTGTTGGACCAGGCTCAATGTACGCAGGTTCATACGCAGTAAGCAAAGCCTCCGAAAACGGAAACATATGAACCCGCTCCCAAACAAGTTTAGACACTACATATATTGTTGTATTTTGGAACTTTGGTTCGAGCCTTCCAGACTGACACGTGTTTCGTCCCACCTGCGAATTTTGACAGGTGCTCCAGAGCGAGCCAGATGCTGCAAGATGCATCAACAAGCCACTGGATCTTATCCGAGAAAATGCCTCACCTTAGTTAACTCAGTAGAAGCCGCAAATCCAGGAAAATTCGATCCTGAATAGACATGAAAAGGAGCTCCATGGAACTCCGCAATAAAGTTTGACTTGTTCTGAGGAGCGGCTGCAGTAGACAAGAGGTCGTAGAGTCGGTATCGAAGGAGGAAGTTTCTGTCTCTCTTCAGAGCGAGATTCTGCAAGTTAAACGTCAAAGTAAGTTTCCAAGGGAGGGAGGAAGGAAGGGTAAATATATTGGACCTACACTCATGACAAATAAGAGATCTTTACAACCTTGATAGTCATCGATAAGGAGGGGTTGAACGTAGGTGTCACCAACAAAGGAGTCCCCCTGTTGTAAGGGTCCCGCTATCTCTGGCAGTGAGGCAGAATCTTGGACATGGAAGAGGTTGACGGAGAGCAGTAATCCAGCCATCTGGATAGTACTGCAGTTGGGGAGTGTAGAATAAGCTTCTGTTAGGAAAGGAATATTTAACAAGCACACCCAACTTGTAGTTCAGTTCAGTTTCTAACTGGTCTGATGTTCCATATCCGTCAACACTGAAGAGCCTGAGGTGAACAACAGGCGGGGGATCGAGTAGATGTCGACTATCCCCCGGTGCGTGTCTATGTGAAGTTCCAGATCAATTCAGCTGACATGCGTCTTTGTCGTACTTACTTGCAGCCAACATTAATTTTTTGTATTTCTACCAAGTCCAAGTGAATACACTGGTTCGAAAATTGGCCAGCAGTGAACATAATAGGCTGAGTAGTGACATTCATTGGGCAAAGCTGGGATTGGGGCAGGGTGCTTCATTGATAGGCTGAGGAATTGGAGATAGATAAGCAGAGTTTCGGAAGACGGAGAAGATATGTGAAGGTGCCCACGCAAAGAGCTGGTGTACTTCTAAAGCATAACCCGGCTAGAGGGGCCCAGGAGCCTCCAATGACGCACCTGGCTGAATCTCGGTGCTGTGGCAAGGAGAAGGGCGTCAAAGTCTGCATCATAGGCAGTAGTCTTTAGCGACACCTCGTGCACCACCGCCTATCTGCAGTAGCCACTCGTATCCTTCGAACCTCAGCTTGAGCTCCAGGTTCGCAGGATGATAAGACTTGAATAAGCAAAAGTATCACTGAAGACGTCGAATAGACTTTATGGAAGCTCACCAAGTGAAACCAGGTTGCCTCAAAGGATCTGCAAGGACTTATAAGGGCATTAAACTATGTCACTGATGACTCTGTTCGTAACAATAATGGAATTGTCTTGGAGAGAGGAAATTTATGGAGTGCACTCAGGCTGGTACTAATGCAAGCGAAAAAGAGGACTCTGAATTCTGGAAGGAGCTGGGGATACTTGCTGAGAAGTCTGACTGCTGCCGACTTCATAGAAAAGATACCGTCAATTGAGGTCAGCCGTCTTTACGAGTCCTCATGAAATGAGGCTCATCTTTATAATGGGGAGGCTCAAGTATAACGGCCCACCATGGACAAAAATAGGGCTTACCATGTAAATACCACCCCCTGCAATGAATATGTCACCTGAAAGTCCCAGATCGTCAGTGTTCGTTGACGATCGTCAACTTTCGTCAATGTTTGTCAACAATCTCCAACTTTTGTTGATGTTCTTCGACTTTTGTCAAAGATTTCCACTGAAATATCCTGATCTTCAACGTTTGGCACAGATCAATATGGTAGGTTTCTTCAACTTTCTGTTACCATTTTCACTGTGAGCCTCTCATTCTTTCTTTGACATCCAGCCAGAATCTTCAAGAATCTTTATATTTTTCTTCAGGAATGTGTCAGACCCCAGGACTTTGCAAGGGGCTTGGCACACTCAATTCATGTGCCAGGCCTACACTGGCTGCTTTGCTTGCATGCTGACTAACAGTCGGGCCATGGGGACCCACCAATCTTAGTCAGTGGGGAAGAAATACCTCGCTGACTAAGATTGGCAGGGTCCCATGGTGCGCTGACTAAGTTGTTGCTCCCGCCCTTCTCATTACTGTTGTGGACAGCAAGCTCGCTGTTCACACCATTTCTGGTCCATTTCCCTCCATTTTTTTGCTAGTATCAATGTATGTAGTTATTAATGAAGTTATGTAACATATATACTGTTGTAAACCCCCATAAGCTGTATAAAATGCGAAACAATAATATGAATAACAGTCCCTCATCCATACCCAGCCCTAGGCATATTCCCCAGCCCAGGAAGCATCTGGAGTATTTAATATAGACACATGTATGAGTGGGAAGACCACCATCCAGGCTTTGGGAGTGGCAGGATATACAGTATCATGGTGAGTAATTTACCTCTCCTCCTACCCCTCTTCCACACACCAATAATGCAACTATTACTATGGTTAGTAGCTCAATTTAATGGTACTACAATAGCGCATTTTTAGGGCCCTCTATTCGAGCCATTTGTGGTTTGAAGAGAGAGGGTATGACCCATGACCCTCAACAGTAGATATTTTATTAAAGAACCATACATGCATTTATGGCCAATTTGACTCAGTAGATACTTAATAGTATTATGCTTTAGTATATATATGTATTTAAATATGGAGCGCTGCACATGTGGGCAAAGATATGAGGAGGGGGAGGAGGAGCACATACCTCATCAGTCACCATGTCCTCCTGTCACGAATAGCGCATATCGCATGCTCTAGGTAGACTCTACAGGTGTGTAATATGTATACCTTGATATTTTAGTAGTCACGGTTAGAGAATAGATGCTTGGGTGAGATGGTAATAAAGCAAGGAGGATATCTGCATAAAAAGCATGAAAATCGTCCACTGTCACATAAATACATCAAGTAAAAATAATATATATACCTAGGCATATACTCATACATTCTAAGAGCCAGCTGAAAAAGAGTTTACGAAATTAGAGCAAGATTGAGGTGAGATATGGATGAGACAGTGAATTTTGAAGGGCAGAAACTTGGTCACTACATGTGACTGTAATTTGCAGCTTACTATCTACCCTTCTTTGGGAGTTCCTTTGCCATATCTCACCTCAATCTTGCTCTAATTTCGTAAACTCTTTTTCAGCTGGCTCTTAGAATGTATGAGTATATGCCTAGGTATATATATTATTTTTACTTGATGTATTTATGTGACAGTGGACGATTTTCATGCTTTTTATGCAGATATCCTCCTTGCTTTATTACCATCTCACCCAAGCATCTATTCTCTAACCGTGACTACTAAAATATCAAGGTATACATATTACACACCTGTAGAGTCTACCTAGAGCATGCGATATGCGCTATTCGTGACAGGAGGACATGGTGACTGATGAGGTATGTGCTCCTCCTCCCCCTCCTCATATCTTTGCCCACATGTGCAGCGCTCCATATTTAAATACATATATATACTAAAGCATAATACTATTAAGTATCTACTGAGTCAAATTGGCCATAAATGCATGTATGGTTCTTTAATAAAATATCTACTGTTGAGGGTCATGGGTCATACCCTCTCTCTTCAAACCACAAATGGCTCGAATAGAGGGCCCTAAAAATGCGCTATTGTAGTACCATTAAATTGAGCTACTAACCATAGTAATAGTTGCATTATTGGTGTGTGGAAGAGGGGTAGGAGGAGAGGTAAATTACTCACCATGATACTGTATATCCTGCCACTCCCAAAGCCTGGATGGTGGTCTTCCCACTCATACATGTGTCTATATTAAATACTCCAGATGCTTCCTGGGCTGGGGAATATGCCTAGGGCTGGGTATGGATGAGGGACTGTTATTCATATTATTGTTTCGCATTTTATACAGCTTATGGGGGTTTACAACAGTATATATGTTACATAACTTCATTAATAACTACATACATTGATACTAGCAAAAAAATGGAGGGAAATGGACCAGAAATGGTGTGAACAGCGAGCTTGCTGTCCACAACAGTAATGAGAAGGGCGGGAGCAACAACTTAGTCAGCGCACCATGGGACCCTGCCAATCTTAGTCAGCGAGGTATTTCTTCCCCACTGACTAAGATTGGTGGGTCCCCATGGCCCGACTGTTAGTCAGCATGCAAGCAAAGCAGCCGGCGTGAGCCCAGCATATGAAACCCACACATGGTGTGGTGTCATGGAGGCAGTTCAGGGTCTCAGAGATTCTTGAAGAAACTGGAAGAATAGGCCAGGCCATGTCAAGACAAATTCTCATTTGTTTTAGCCTCTGTCAACGGATCGGTGACGAACGGTGACATTCTGCGGGGTGTCATTCTTTGATTATTGTTAACATCCTGCCAAAAAAGGTAACTTTCTGTGCCAATTGTCAAAGAACATCAACATTCTTTGACGATCATGACTGTTCCTTGGCTATTGTGACCATTCCCTGACTTTCTTCCGTGTTCTGCCACAATCATCACTGAAATTCATTTACATTGTATTTTTGTCCAGCACGGACCACCATACTCAAGTCTCGGAAGGATTGATGGATCATGACTAAGCACACAGCCACCCAGAAACGGGGAACACCCACTCTTCGAGAGGCGACCCACGCAATGCTTTGGAGGTCAAATGCAGTAGATAGAAGTTGAATAAAATCTGTGTGCATAGTGTTCATGATAAATAAAACTCTATGTCATGTCACCATAATAATCTGAGTCATATTGAGCATCCTCCTCAGGCTCTGCCATGGAGACATCATTATCCTGAACAGGAACAACTTCCTGGACCCCACGCCGTGCCAAATATCGTGCTACTGCTTTCTTCAACTCACATACTTTAGCCTTCTTGTCCTTCATGTGGGACTTGAACGGGACTATTGCATTTTCTGTTGCCTCTATTTGCTTTGGTGAGCATTTTGGCTTTTTGACATATGCCCAGACCATGTATGACTGATTGGGTGTTTCCTGCAGAATTTTTGGGACCTTGGGGAAGGATATAACACAGAGGGAGTGGGTTTACAGGGCTCCTCGACACGCTGAGGACATGTTTGATGCGTGTTACATAATCACCTTAAATGGATTTTGGCACCCTGATAGGGGTCAGTTGTTTTCCCCACTTTGCAACGTGACTTTCCCTCCTTTTTTTGCCCATATAGATAATTTTTTATGTCATAAAAAGATTGTTCAGAAAAAATTTAAGGATTTCATTTTCCGTGCATGACTTTCATACTTGATGTTAGGGACACGCTCCTCTCTGGAGCGGGGAAGTCTGAACAAGTTCGGCACAAAATGCTCAAACTTTGATTTTGGTATTTATTTCTGCTATAATCACATGTCTTTCTGGGGAAAATTCCATTTCACCGTTTTCTTCAGCCAAATGCAGGTATAGACAACAGGGACAAACAAAACCGGCAATGGCGGAGTTGAGCCTCCCCATTTATAACCCCGCCCATCATTTGGAACGCTGAAATAGCCGGCAAACGCCGTCGCGGGACACCACGTGACATGTAAGCAAGTACACACAATCTGCGACGGGACGGGCCGCTCATGTTCCATCGAATCTGTCAAGCAACTACAAACGTCAAACCCTCTGGAATTCGCTCTGAACGATGGAGCGTCTCGCACGATTGAGGAGCGAAAGCGAGCAGCCTCAAGAATTCAAGTGGAATCATGGAGCACTTCAGTTCATGAGTATTGTACGTTTATTTCACGCAAATTTCAGGTTCTGATTTATCCAAACCTCACATGCCCCATGCGAAGCACGGGCAAACCTCGTCTTGCAGAATGCATGCAGATAAAAATTTAGCATAGAATAAGTTGTTTCTCTGAGAGAATCAGAAGACTCAGCAGCCTCCTAAGGCGGGAGAATTCCTGGACTCGTACATGCCACGCCAAAGCGATGGCCCACGCCAGCAAGTTAAGCCAGACTTTTAGCCCACATCCACCCGACTAAGTAGACCCGAGGGAGCCAGGAGGGAACCGTAAAGCAGGAGGGAGCCGTAAAGGGAAACCTGCCCTTGACGTGGGTCGGCATTGTCCGTGGCGCCTAGCCTCAGCCACGCGTATTGAACTTGCATTAAACTTGCATTCCACCCTATTCCACCACAATGATCTCAGTCTCAATCGACGGCCTAGTTATACCTCTTTTTTGTGCCTCCGAAAAACTGGCAAAGATGCTTATGGTGACCCCGCTCGTATGGCAGGCTTCTCGGTTCGCTTGTCTGACGATTTTTCATTTTCCAGCAATGAGCATAGCAAGACGCAGTAAATTTCACAGCCTTCTTCCATTGACGCTTTGCTTGTTTCTACGATCATTCGTTTCACCAGGGACCTTTACTACAGTTCCATAGCCTATCGCAGGGCTTGTCACTGCGAAATACTAGCGAAGAAAATGTATCCGGCCTATGGTTTTGAGTACTTTTGGTGCGTATGTCATATCAACACGTTGAAACTTCAGAGGACCAACACCCAGAGGTGAGTCCTATGCTCTATTAACGTTGGTTTGCGTTCATGAGAATGATATGCATTTGCGTAACTTGATACCTTTGTTCTGTATTGGGACATTCTTACTGGCGAGAGAACGTAAGGCCTTTCAGGAACCCCCTTCAAAAACATTCCCTACGTAATTCTGCTTTCAAATTCCAGGTGCAGAAGAATGCAGCGCCCTCATGTCGCGTTCCAGCCGGAGTTGTTGTTCGCAAAATAGACGTGCTTTCCGTTTCCTCTATGGTTATTGACCGACGTCACTCCCACGCCCATGGACGAAACTGATGATGTACGGCGTTATTCGACGGACCCGCAGTGAGGTTCCTTCTCGCCCGTCTGACTCGTTCACTGAATTGACATCCCGATGAGCTCGAGTATCCGGAGAACGACATTCGGGGGGATCTCTGTGTCGCGTGTCAGCTCACCCGTATCCGGAGGTCTATCGGTGCGGACTCCTTATTCCAATGGCATCTACATGTGAAGGGTGGCATGGGCATCGATGCTTTACTCCCTTTTACCACCGCTTTCATGATTTTGCGGTCATAGGCCCATGATAGGCGGATCCCAGAGTGTTCTGTCGGACAAACCCGACCACAAAAGCGAGGGTTCACAACAATAAATTTCATACCAAACAGAATGTGATTAGGTTAGAGCGGACACGATGTAACAATGAGGATTGCCATTGCTTATGGAGAGATGCCAGGACTAGGAGGAGAGGTGTGCCGAGAGTTAGCCGAATCTTGATTTGGCTGTGGCCTGCTATAACGGGGCCATTTATCTTGTGAACCTGACAAGGTTGATTCCATTGGACTTGGTGCATCTCCGTCCTTTTCTCTAACCTCGACTGTGGTGGCTGGAACATCCAGATGGCCTACATGCAGACTCTCAGCCCTCAAGCAATGCATCAGCAGTACAGGGATCCCGCCCACAGCGCCGTAACCCCTCCTATGCAACGACGCCAGGCCTCCAAGCAGAGATTCGTCACAGAGCTCTCCCAATGCCTCTTCGATTTCGTGATCCAGCTCTTGCCCACCCAGGAGGAGATGGCCGTGAAGGAGGACGTCAGGAAGCTTCTTGAACGTCTTATTCGCACCATAGAGCCTGACAGTCGGTTACTGTCGTTCGGGAGCACGGCCAACGGTTTCAGTCTGAGGAATTCGGGTGAGAATGCAGGATCTTTGGCGTCTGTGAATGTCCCAGAGCAAATAATGACACTATATGCTCTCAGACATGGACCTATGTTGCCTCATCGACTCTGAAGAACGCCTGTCCGCGACAGATCTCGTAACTATGTTGGGAGACCTACTAGAACGAGGTGCGTGGCTCCATGTTGTATTCAACGTTCATTGCCCAACTCTGCTCTTCAGAAACGAAGTTCCACGTCAAGCCGCTGCCTCATGCCCGTATACCAATCGTGAAACTCTCACTCGATCCTTCTCCCGGTCTTCCGTTAGGGATTGCCTGTGACATCGGCTTCGAAAATCGGCTAGCGCTGGAGAACACCCGTCTTCTTATGTGCTATGCCATGATCGACCCGACGCGTGTTAGAACAATGGTTCTCTTTCGTGAGTTGGCTGCCACCCGGTTATTGAAGGAGTACTCATCGGTCTGAGTGAACAGTCAAAGTATGGAGCAAGAGAAGGTATGGCACTGAACAGACATTCTCTTCTGAATCTCGTGGCTAACGTCGGTCTTGTAGGAAAATCAACTCTCCCTACAAAGGAACCCTTTCATCTTATGGCTACGTGCTTCTTGTAATTTATTTCCTTGTTCATGTCAAAAACCCGCCGGTATTGCCTAATCTACAACAAATGCCTCCACTACGCCCTATATCAAAGGTACGTCACGTTCTGCCCAATGCCACCAAGACTCTCCGCTGATCATCTCTCAGGAGGATACCCATCTGAACGGACATAATATATGGTATCTCTGCCTGCACGAATGTCCCGCTATGACTTGCTTAACCCTCTAATAGGTTCTTCGATGACATCGATCTATTGCGCCAACGTTGGCATTCCGAAAACCTTGAGACTGTAGCTGAACTGTAAGTCCTCTGAAGCCCATTGTTGCAGGATACCAACTTCAAGCTCCCGGTACAGATTAATAGACTTTTTCCGATATTATTCCCGCGATTTCGCTTACAATACGGGTGTGGCGTCAATACGGGCAGGGTTGCTCAAAAAAGACTCCAAAGGTTGGCTGGGCGAGGTGAGCTGGTCAAGCTCATCGAGTGGACCCTTGCTCATCGTTGTCTGACAGTCGTCTGGACGGTATGGCGATGCTCGAGAGCGGAATAGGCTCTGCATAGAAGTAAATGATTTGCACTTTTCGCTTCCCTTTCTCTAACCTTGATGGACCCAGGACCCTTTCGAGACAGATTATAACGTCGCGCGTTGCGTGACTAAGGATGGGCTCTACACTGTGAGTGTCGGGACAAGGTAGACAATTGCTCCTAGGTACTGACTTAGTGTTGCACGCAGATCCGAGGAGAGTTTATGCGTGCAGCCCGAATACTTGCGACTAGACCCGAAAGAGCCATCGTTGCCTTGGCTGAGCTCTGCGAAGAAAGGAAGGACGAAGAGCTTGTTCCCGCGCCTCCTTATCACAGACCCGCTCCTATCCCCCCTCAAACTCCTTACACAGTTGGGAACCAGAGTCTTCGACCAAAGAATGCTGAACGGTTCTCGCCTCCTGCACAGTTCTTTGAACCTGGACTTCGCCAAGTGGTTCAGCCCGCCACAATACGGCCTCCACCCGATCACATGGCTCCGAAGCGAGGAAAATGGACAAGCCCTCCTCCTCCTGAGGCACCATCGGCGGACCATACCCAGTTTGAAAATCAGCTTGGTATGGTGTTACAGCTTGCAACGGCCGCAACGGCCGCAAGGGAGAAAGAAACGTCGTATAACTCCTCAGAGAGCAATAGCGAGATCTTTACAGATGATGGGTCAGATCTTGCTGACGAAGATATCAAGTCGGTCCGATCTTACACGGAACAGTCATCACCAGTTGTTCCAGGAGTTACACGTCGACCATCATGGCACACACATGATACGGCCAGACCGCAATCCGTATTCAACCCGCTTTCGTCTGGATCTGGCACCTCTTCTCGATCCTCCTCCTCTGCAAGAGGCAGGTTCCCTCGGCTTTCGGACAGGATTGACTTACCTGCTGGGTACCGGCCACCACCTGAATTCATTCCTTCATCAGCTCGGTCAGAGTTCAATCGGCGGTCTACTTCAGGCCCTCCTCGATCTCTTAAGACCCAATCATTATCGTCTAATACCCCATTTGCTATCGCTACACCACTTCCTCCATCGCCGCAATCACAATCGCAATCACCCATCGACCCAAGACTCGTAAACGAGCCACCAAGTGTATATTATCAAACTGCTACTACAAGGTCGCCCCAGCCCACGGCCATATACCCCAATTCCGGAACGCAATCATCTTTTTTGTCTCAATATCAACAGCCTCAGCCACAAGCAGGGTACATGGGTGCTACTCCGAACGATGTCTTCCCAGCGAACCTTCCGCCCTCTTTGTCTTCTTTGAACCCTCGTGGAAGGAATTCGTTCAATGGGGGCCCAGAAACCCCTACACCTGCTACGTACCATAGTCATCTCACGCATTCCCACTCGCTTTCAAACACCAGCACTATCTTGGCTCTGACGCCACCACCACATACCACTAATTTCCCTCACTCTCACCACTTCCAGTTGAACGCAGGTTCTTCATCTTCGCCTTTGGTACCACAGGAATCTCAATCTCAACACACTGTAACACCACAACTATCTACGCCACTTTCATCACCTCTCGCTGTCGATCTTCCGCAGCAATCGCAATCGCCACGACCCGACACGAAATCAAGTTCAATAGGCTCCTCACCGTCTGCTGGGCTGCATGTGTCTGAGCCCGAAATTCAAGTGCGGCTCAAGGAAGGTTCAGAAGGAAGTAACCATCCTCCAATATCTGCCCACACCACCACAACCACCAACAATAACGATGACAACAGCATCCCTCATCCTCATTCGTCCAATAACTCGCCGATACCTTCAGCCTCTTCTGGCGGTTACATGACATCAATATCGCGCTCGCCATCACCTTCTCCACCTCCTACGGCTATGCCGTTAGCACCAAAGAAGCAGAATGGAGCTGCTGAACATCAGGGCGAAGGAGAAGTTAACTTGAAGGAAGGGCTACAGGCTTCATTCTCCACCTTGACGATTGGGAATGGAAATGGACACGGAAAGGGCCACACGCGAGGCAATTCAGACGACTCCATGGAAGGCGTCAGCAGCATCAGCTTCGGTAGTGGTATTGACGTGTCTTGCCTTCCTAGTGGGTGCGTTGCTGCTGCTCTGGAGAGGGCAAGTGAGCAGAAGATAGAGCAAGCACGATAGGACCGGAATCTGCTGCAAGACATTTGGCGCAATAGGCGGCCTTCCTCTTGGTCAAGTGGAAGCCGTCGCTCGACTGCGGGATCTACACCTCTCTAGATGATTGGGTGTTCTTGAAGGCCCTCGAAATACTTGAATTTCACCTTACGGCTGGTCGAACTTCCTATTGCGCTTCGAACATAATTAAGCAATGCAATTGGCGACAAGGACCGCACTGCATTAATGGGCTGTTATTATATTGCTTGCCCTTCTTGGCATCGATATTTTGTGTTTGAACGACAACTCCGAACGTCTCAGCTCTCGAATTGATCCAAGTCCAGGAGGTCGACTCCTATCAAATCTGCCGCTGCGCTCAAATCCAGGAGAAATCTACTGTTGTCATATTTCTGTCCTCGACTTCAAGCTCCTTACTCTACGTACATCCCTAGTCGTCTGTCGGACTCTGTCCACCCTCCTCGCACTCGGACATCGCCTTCATGCTCCGCTCCACGTTTGAGATTGTGTGCCCCTGTACCCTACAATCTGTTTATAAAAGAGTATTTGGCGCCTCTGAGAATAACAGCCTGTTCATCATTCAATTATCCTCAAATACATCATCGTTGACAGTCCATCTTAGTCAATGATCACACTGTTCTCATTGCTTGGGGAGTCAGACGGTGGATTTTCAGGGTAAGGTCGCTGTAGAAGAGGTATGGGGTTTGTCTGTTACTTGTCAAGAACAAAATGGGAGCGTTTAATGCGATAACCCTTGATGCAGGATTACTGGAAGGAAGACCAGCTGCCCTGTGCTGTTTTACGCTTTTTACGCCTTCATTGTCCTCGAGGCGATTGTGTGTCCGGACTTCGATAGCACAAGTGGACACAGAAAGACAAGAAAAACTGCGATGCTTGCGACTTCATAGCCGACAGACATCGTGTTAAAGGGATACCATGAGGAGTAATCGCAAAGGTAATAAGGGACTAAAAAAATCAGAAAGGCGGATTGGCATTCAAACGGCCAAGGTCCGAATGGTCACACATACGAATACACCAGTCGTGAGTTCATTGCTCCTGGCCTTGGAAAGGATTGGCGATCTCATCTGACCCATCGACAGGGTTGAGCACGGTTATAGTTGGCCCACGGAGAACGACAAGGCCCAGAGAGCGAGTATGAGGTTTTGGGACTGTCAAAAAGTGTCAGGATAAGATAGTTGGTGAAAGAGTACGGAAGAGAGCACTGACGCTGCATTTCCTCCGTGACGTCGTCAAGGACGAGGTTCAGAAGCTGATCGTAGCCCTTGAGTGTGCCAGTTACTATTCGATAAAATTCAGATTAAGGCGGGGCGGTGTCGAACTCAACAAGGGACGTACCTTCGCGACCGCCAGTGAACTTGACTCTGATGCGCTCATCGACATACTTGGAGAGGTCGAGAATGGCCTCCCGCCGAGGTTTGTCTGCAGATGCTGCAGCGAGGCCTGTATGCGCACCTCCTTGAAGACGTTTCACGGGTGCTGCCCCACGAGCACCACCACGAGCTGCACCGCGACCCTATTTTTCAGTCGATATGAAGAGGCGAGGAGAGAAAGATCGGATGCGTACCCGATCTGCCATGATTTTGTGATAAGAGTAAAGAAAAGAAAGGCTGAAAGGGCTGAATAAACACGAGGCAGGAAAAGGCGTGGTGAAAAATAAAATTCAAGTTCAGCTTGCATTGCTTTGGCCCAGCTTTGGCTCAACGATCACCTGCTCTCTTCCTCCAACCCTTTTTTCCCTCCCATCCACCCGCACCAGGGTACCCACTCTCTCAACAACGCCTCGGAATAGACGGAAACAAGTAACGAGCACCCTTTAATCAGTAATACGACCTGCGGTGCACCATGAACGCTACGGAGCTCCTCGCCAACTCCCTCTCTGCAGGTACGCCACTTACTCTTTTGCGCGTTGCAGAGATGCGATAACTTCATTTGCTCATTTTTTCTCCTCCAAAGATGCTCATACGCGTCAGGATGCCACCCAAAAGCTCGAGAGCGCTGCCCAGGACAACTACGTACGCCCTGCAACCACCCTTCTTTCTGTTCCCTTTTGTTCACCATCTCGCTCTGCCAATGTAGCCGCAGTACATGTTAATGCTCTCATCGGTCCTGGTCGACGAGAGCACACCCATTCACATCCGTAACGCTGCCGGTCTCGCCCTCAAAAATGCGCTGACCGCCCGAGTACGTCCATCCTTCTCCGCCCCTCAACCAGCGCCTTATCCTCATGCATCTCGCGATCATAGGAAAGCACACGGCAAACGGACATGACAAATAGGTGGCTTTCGTTGCCCAACGATACCAAGGCGAAGATCAAGCAAGATGCATTGATCACCCTTAGCTCCAGCAATCCCAAGGCGGGCAACTTTGCCTCGCAGGTCGTGTCCGCCATTGCTGCAGTCGAATTGCCTCAGGGTCAATGGCCAGATCTGATTGAGATCCTCCTTGGGTTCGTCAACAACCAAACTAATACCAATCTCCGTATCGCGACTCTCCAGACCATCGGTTTTATCTGTGAAGCGATTGTGCGTGTGTGGCATCTCTTTTCATGGGCATTGCCAAGTTGACCGATAATTTTCAGAAACCTGAGATTCTAAGCTTGCGATCGAACGAAATCCTTACAGCCGTCATTCATGGCGCTCGAAAGGAGGAGCCTTCGCCGGATGTGCAGTTGGCTGCAATCCACGCTCTATTCAACTCGCTCGAGTTTGTGCGGGAGAATTTCGAACGAGAGGTGCGTTGAATCATTTGATCATGGGATCACCAAATTTATGATCCACAAAGGGCGAGCGCAACTACATTATGCAAGTGGTGTGTGAGGCGACGCAAAATGGCTCTGTTGGTGTGCAAGTGGCGGCTTTCGAGTGCCTAGTGCGGATCATGAGTCTCTATTACGACAAGATGGGGCTGTACATGGAACAAGCATTATTCGGCGTAAGTCCAGCTTCTCCCATCCTACTCAAGAATATTGCTGATCCGTCCCTCCAGTTGACGGTTGTTGGCATGAAACACCCTGATGAGCGTGTTGCACTTCAAGCAGTAGAATTCTGGTCGACTGTTTGCGAGGAAGAGGTTGATCTTGCTCTCGAGGCCCAAGAGGTGAGCAAGACGGATCTTCTTCCTCTCGATACACTCTAACTCAAAGCCCAGGCTGCTGAATACGGGGACGCACCTGAAACGGAATCCAGGTTTTTTGCCAAGATCGCCCTTCCTGAGATCGTGCCCGTCCTTCTGCAACTCCTCACTCAACAAGAAGAGGACGCTGAAGAGGACGAATGGAACGTATCTATGGCTGCTGGTACCTGCCTCAGCTTGCTCGCTGGCGCTGTGCAGGACGCCATCGTTCCCGCCGTTATCCCCTTCATCGAGGCGCACATCAAGTCCGGCGATTGGCACCAACGCGAGGCCGCCGTGATGACCTTTGGCTCGATCCTCGAGGGCCCTGACCCTGCGGTCCTCACTCCGCTCGTCAACCAGGCTCTACCCCTTCTCATTGACATGATGACAGACACGAATGTGCATGTCAAAGATACCACCGCCTGGACGCTCGGTCGTATCTGCGACCTCCTGATTGGCACTATCAAGCCCGACGTGCATTTGCACCCCCTGATTTCGGCTCTCGTTAACGGCTTGCAAGATTCCCCTAGGATCATTGCCAACTGCTGCTGGGCGCTCATGAACCTCGCCGATCAGTATGTGTTTTACGAGGAGGAAGGAGAGGCTGCACAGAGTGGTCCTCTGTCGCCCTACTATGAAGGTGTGGTGCAGGCGCTGCTTCGTGTTACGGAGAGGTGAGATTTTTTTTCACCTTGTCTCCTGTTTGCATTCTGATTATCTTCTTATTGCAGCTCTGGAAATGAATCTAACTTCAGAACGGCTGCCTATGAGGCTATCACTTCATACCTTACCCAAGCAACACCTGATGCAATCCCGGTCGTGCAGAGCACTGCTGTTACGGTTCTGCAGAGAATGGAACACCTCCTGAGCATGCAAGTACGGTCACATTCCTCTTTATATCTTTCTTTCATTTCCTGACTTGTGCCAGAACCAAATCCTCGGCGTGGACGATCGCAATAACTGGAACGAGCTCCAGAGCAATCTATGCGGGGTTGTCATTGTACGTTATCATGAGCATGACGACAGTCATCGTTGTTTGCTAACTCGTCTTTGTTTAGTGTGTCATCCGCAAGCTCGCCGAAGGCATCCAACCCCTCGCTGACCGCATTATGACCCTCGTCCTGCAATTAATCCAGTCAGCAGGGAAGACTTCAACGATCCTCGAAGATGCCTTCCTTGTCGTCGGAGCTCTAGCTTCTGGTAAGCCTCCATCCATCGCGTCCAAGGCCTTCTGCCCATTCTTTTTTTTTCTCTGCAGCTTTGGAATCGCAGTTCTCGCCTTACATCCAGGCCTTCCTTCCTTTCCTCTATCCTGCACTTAAGGCACACGAAGATACCCAACTTTGCACAGTTGCCGTTGGTATCATCGGCGACATCTCGCGTGCTCTTGGCGAGCAGTCTGCCCAATATGCAGGCCCCTTCATGACCGTTCTTTTCGAGAATCTTCAAAGCGACGTTCTTAATAGAAACGTCAAGATCTCGATTTTGTCGTGTTTTGGAGACATCGCACTTGCTGTTGGACCCGCCTTCGAGCCGTACTTTGAGACGACGATGAGCGTCTTGAGGCAAGCGGGTGCCGTTGAGCCCAATCCCGTGAGTATGCGCCCTGGAGCTGTTATTCCTTCTGATACCCCTATATGCGTACTGAATAGAGAGTTTTTGTTTAGCTCGACTACGATCTCGTTGACTACGTCGGCCAGCTGCGCGAAGGTATCCTCGAGGCGTATACCGGCATCGTCACCGGCTTGAAGAAGACAGAGAAGGTTAACATTCTCATCTCGCACTCTCAAAGCATCTTGGAGCTCGTTCACCGGTGCCTCGTCGATGAGGAACGCTCTGATGCTCTGATGCGGCTGTCGTATGGTCTAATTGGTGATCTTGCGGATTGTTTCCCTGGCGGACAGCTCAAGCAGCTCCTTCTTGCCAACTGGATCGTTCAGGAGCTGCGCTCAAGGCAACGTATGGTTGAGGAGACGAAGAAAACTATGCGATGGGCGCGCGAGGTAAGTCCTTGTTGATCTGGTCAAGAGCCTCGTTCCTGACGGTTCAATTTCAGGCTGTCAAACGCGCGACCCAGTAAACGCCATCCACTTGCTCCTCCGATTGGAGCTTCCTTTCATCCTTTCGCTTCTCTTCCGACATTTCTTCTTTTCTTCCTCTTTCCATCTCTCTCTCCCAATCCATGCATACATGCAATCTACACTCTCGGTATTAGTCTGACATCGTCTCTCAAGGAGGCACATTTAAAGATACATTGCATGTAATAGATGAAACGGACTAGGGCTAAAGGTGTCTCCATAGGTACCGATCCACTCACGATAACGTCGTCTCTTAGTTTAGCACACTTCTTTTGGTTTTCTTCTGAATGCTTCCATGCCCTGCCCAAAATATTGCCCTCTCGCTACATCATGATGTTTCATTATTTCTTACACTCCGTTGTCTATCGCCATCCAATGTATCCCCTAGCGAGTTCATGTTCCTACTTCACGTTTTCTGATGTTCTGTTTCCCTTTGTTCAGTCGGTTTTCCGTCCAATCCAATTTTGACCTCGATACTATCCTCATCACCCCAGACATTTATCCCCTGCATTTTATTTCATGGTTCACGTCTAATGCCCTCTTGACTCTATTTGCCTTAGATCGGGCACACCATAACGGACGCTCTTGTTGAGGAGTCTAGTTTTTCACCTAAATTATTCCAACTATGTTTTTGAATCATTTCTCTGTACATGTGACGAGGTGTTGCTTCGACGCCGAGAAGCTTCGCTGCTGGAAGAAAGTGCGGATGATTTTTCCAACAAAGCCTCAACCTCTTTACCGACTGCTGGATTGACGCTATCGTTTCTCATTTATTTTATACAACACTATAAGAAAAAGGCGCGAACAAAGTATACATACTCCAAACTTGATTCGAGTGGCACCGAAAACCTCTATAGAGCTTGGGATGGAAATCCTCCCATCCGAGTTGCTGGGGGGTCCAGCCCCAAACCTGCCCCGTTTTCTCGTCCACCTTGTTGCTCATCCTCTGGCCATGGTCCAGATGCCAGATCTTCCCGAGGTCCTCCTCTGATATTTCTGGGACCTGTATATGCACATTTCAAAGACCAATGCGAAAGCGACAGGATACACCATTCGTCATCCATAACAAAAGTGTTGCAAAAGAGGGCACGTACGGTAATGTTCTCTTTCTGCCTCTTGTTATTTTCGCTCTTTGGCGTGATAACAGTGCCACGCGACAAGTGCCAGGCGAAGATAACCTGGGTCGTACTTCTCGGCAAGGCTGACGACCAAGGTGTCGTCTCGGACGATCCCGTACACTATGTATGGTGAAAGTTAGTAAGGGATGTCATCTACAGTCGGACCCCTCTTAACCCATACCCCCTCCGTGGACGGCCCGGGTATGGGTTATGGGGGTTATGGGTTATGGGGGGAGCGCTAAAAATAGACTGGAGAAATAGACCAAAATAAGGTCAATATCTGGGTAAAATAGTGCAATTCTACATCACTAAAGTTATCCAGAGGAGTTTGGACATCAGATCGGCATTAAAACCGGTCTTGACTGAGGCAAAATCACGCCCTCGATCTCATCTAGATGGTTGTCTCTGTCCAATGAATGTACGAGGGCCATTTTCGTGCAAACGAACACAGTTTAGAGGGCGTATGACCTGCCTGATCAATTTGAGCCTTCACAAGTGTTCGCTATGGGTTACCAAATATGGAGCACTCATGTCTAATTTGTAAGCAATTTTCGCTCTCACGCTTCATTAAGACCCTATTTGTAGGTCTCAGGAATCGAACCGATGACTTAGAGCGTCGACTTTGTGGGATTTCACACGATAAAGCAGCTATCAGCGCGATTGAACCACTAGGCCAAAAGGTGTACACCTAGTTTTTTGTCTTTTGTCACTCCCAATTCGACAACCGAGGATTCCATGACATATATAATAGCTAGCGTCATTTGGACCCCGATCCAACTGGTGTTGAGGGGGGTTATCGTCTCACAACGGGGAGGGGCTTGCTTCCTTCCCACGCCATGACAGGGACAGCTGGTCGCGCTGATCGCCAGTCTGCCGACGTACTGCCGCTTTACGGACTTATCGTGACCTAGACTGTGCGTAGCCATCACCCACCTTTGGACTCAGTCGGCAGTCTCCGAAGATCGTACCGAAAGCAGTACACAAAGTTTAGGAGCTTTACTTTCCACGCGTAAATTATCTATTCCATTCCTCCATGAACGTTCTCACTTCGTTTTGGCAATGTCGTTTTCGAGAACACTGGAATTTCATCTACACACGCTGCTTAGATTCTTGCGCCTTCTGGCCTCTTCTGACAGTCGAAATTGTGGCTGGCGAAAGTGTTCATCCTTGCATCTTCACATCGATGCATGCGAGCCTACGGGCCATCATGCTCCTCATTCGTCGGTCTTTTCTCTCTCCGCTTGTGCTCTCCTCAATGTAATACTTTCTCCAGGATGACGAAAGAGTGTAAAGGCCTCTATACAAGGGGATCTGGCACCTCTGAGTTTCGGAACCTCAAGTCGTTGCTGTGCTCGAGAGGCAAATGTGCAATCTAATCTACGACGGGCTATCACACAGCCACAGGTAGGCGCATCACAGCTCAGTCTCGAAGCGTTCTGGATGGCTTCGGGTTCTTAACATTGCGTTATCTCACACAGGAGCGGGCCACAGGAACCGAACCACTAGAAGCCGACATGTTTGCTCTAAGCAGCATGCTCCCAGGCTCTAGCCAGATGACTTTCTCCTGACAGGGCATCAAGAGACATCATCTCGCTCCGGTGGATGAATCCAAAAGCCCCTTCCGGGCTCATATATATAGGTAGACGGGCATTTCCAGCTTTGTCCGGAGTTTGCATCACACTCACCCACTGCGAGGCCCTACATCAACGCCCGAGGAGGCTGTGGAATTCTCTGTCCTGGTCATGATTGCCAACTTTCCCCCATTCCCTGAAGGTCTTGCGGTCCAAGATCTCCTCGTTGTTGACTATGAGCTACTCAAAGCTGGCGACAAGTCTCAAGCAAACATTCTGTGGGAGGCCGCGACGACACTAGGGTTCTGGTAGTACGTCCTTTCCTTCGTTCATTACGACACCTTCATGGACTTCGGGCTGATCACGATTGGCGCAGTCTGCGGAACTCTCCTTCAGAACCTTTCGTCGAACCTGTTCTGGAAATGGGACAAGAGACGCTCGCCCTTTCTCTCGACGAGAAGATGAAGTACTGGCAGGGGACCCAAGGCGCGTCGTTCGGGTAAGTGGCACAGCGTGTTTTTCTCTCTTTTCTCAGTCTAACTATATATTTGTAATACCTTGCGTCTAGATGCAAGACCACGGGCGCTACGCATGTCGATACCGACATTGGGGCAACAGATATCGCCGAATTCTTCAACGTCTTGAAGGACGACGCGCTGTCGTACCCTCAAATATCTCACAGGTCCTATCCAGACAGTGTCAACAGCCGCATGGATTCTGCTGTCAGTCCCTTCGTTCAAACTTGCTCCGACATGAGCGGTATTATGCTCGACGTCTTCAACGACAAACTAGGCCTTCCAAAGAACACCCTTTCGGAGCTCCATCGGGCGGACAAAGCATGTACTTCCGAAGCTCGGTGTATCAAGGTGCCGCCAGCGCCGAAGGAGACGAAGGTTGCTCTGGGAAGGCACACGGATTTCGGAAGGTCAGCACGCCTGTTTGACGATGAACTCTTTGGCCCCTCCGTAGCTGATGCTATCATCCGACAGCGTATCAATTCTATTCAACCGTCTTGGAGGACTACAAATCATGGTTCCACATGGAGGGCGGGGCACCTGGAAGTACGTGAAGGTCAGTCCCCTTTGTCAACTGTAACCGACAAAAAGATTGAACGCCCGCACTCACCTTTTCTTTCTCCTTCCTCTCCGGGACCTGCAGCCTCGACCAGGGCATGCCATATGCAACGTGGGGGACGCTTTAAGCATCCTGAGTGGTGGTATCCTGAAGTCTTGCGTCCATCGGGTGGTGTGAGCCTCTTCTTATCTGTCATCGCGGACATGACCGGCTTATTCATTCGACCTCCTCTAGACCCCCACCTGGTCAGCAAAGGCAGTTCGAATGGTGGTCGCTCGTATATTTCGCCCGACCATCGAACGATGTTTATCTTGAGGCGCTGGCGAACGACAGTCCGACGATTGCAGAAGCAGCTCGAACAGCGGAGGAGGGTAGTGTGATCTCTACAGGGATGCCTGCCGCACAGTGGTTTGCGAGAAAGCAATCGTCTCACAAGTCGGAGACGAACAAGGTTATTATGATCCTCTCCACCATGTTCGCCTGAATTTTTTCCCTTTCTATCGCTTGCATTCATCTGCGAGTATGCACGACTCACAAGTAGAGGGGTGTTTCTATGTACATCCTCTATTTCACGCTCTGTTTGTCATCGTATCTCTCCCTGGGTATCTGTATTTTGTGTGTGTACATCTTGATATCATATTTTTCGACAGGATCGCAATCGCGTTGCAGAGCTATCTACTACATCTTTTAAGAAAGCCTAGTCCGAGAAAGGTAAAGCTGAATGAATGTTTGCAGGCGTCCAAGAGTGAAACGCAGGAAATAGCAAGACTGAACTCCGTCCTTACTACCACCACCGCCTCCCTTTCGCAACTCTTTAGAAACGAAAGCAGAGTACTGGCTAGTGAGGTCGATTCAACGTGAACACGCCATCTATGTGCTCCCACATTGGTGCTGAGCTATCGACTCTTATGACCCTGACATCTAGTATGGTCAAGCAGTCGAGCCGGACGGCGTGAATACTGGAAGCTTGCATGTTCAAGGGCATGCGAATTTCATGCGAAGGAGGATGGCGGTCAAGCTGCAGACGGAGAAATATTAGATGTTGTGGAGGGGGCTCAAATATTTCGACCGGCGCGCATGTCCAAGAGGGAGTTAAGAATCTATTGACTTTTATACGTACAACTTGATCATTCTTCTATTTCTTCATCCGTCAGTCAACAAGCAGCTTTACAGTCTCGGTTCCTCGGTTTTGTACGCCTCGGCAACGAAGTTGATGCCCTGGAAAATGAGAAAAAGTGCACTTTTAGTATACGAGGGTGAAGGAACGATGAAGGACATACAGTCGTGATGTTCTTCTGGAGCTCGGGGATGGCAGCCTTGATAAGTGCCTGCTCAGCCTCCGAAATTTTGCCAAGAGGAATGATCTTCGCAACACCCTCAGTCTGGTTGATTCAATGAACAAACGACGAAGGAATGAGTCCAAGATGACCAAGAGCGTATTTCAGACACTTACGCCCAGCTCCACGTTGGACGAGAAGTACGCGAGTTCCTCGCCGAGCTCCTTGGTGAGAGCAGAACTGCCAGAAGCATCAGCCTCAACGCTGACGTAGCTGGGTGCAATGATGCCCTTCTCGCCCTTGACGGCGCGGATGACCTTCGCAGCGAACTCGGCACCGGCGTACGCCATGGAGAGGGTAGCCGATCCGCCACCATTCTTCGCCTTCACGACTTCATCGCCACCGAATTGGATTCGGTTGACGAGGGTATCGTAGGACTCTTTGGCCAGGCCTGAGGGAAGAGGATGGGAGGATTGGGAGAGGAGAGGAACGATCTATGAAAGGCTTCACGTTAGGTGGCACATGTATGCATAGGTGATTAGATACGTACGGTCACTCCACTATGTCCACCAACGACTGGGACGACAACGTCCTTGGAGAGAGAAAGGTCTCCGAGGATCTCTGCAACGAAAGTCGAAGCGCGAACGACATCCAAAGTTGTAACACCGAAGAGGCTATGGGAATAACCCAATTATATTCGTCATTTTCTCGCATGACGATATAACGCACCGCTTGGGGTCGTAAACGCCAAATTTCTTGAAAACCTCCGCGACAATGGGAACGGTGGAGTTAACGGGATTGGAGATGACCAGAACGAAGGCTTTGGGAGCAGTGGTGGCAATTCCAGTAGCCAAATCCTTGACGATTCCTGCATTGATCTATTCCGCTGTCAGCAAGAGATGCTGCATGTTGTAAAAGGAGGCCCACCTTGAAGAGATCATCACTGATCAACCACATCGGGTCAGTAACCCCTAATGAGGTCCAAGAGACGCGTCAACTGCTCACCGGGTCATCTATGAAAAGCGTAAGGCTAGAGACGCGGAAAAAATCGGGAAATACGTACTCCAGGTTTCCTTGGAACACCAGCTGGGATGACGACAACATCCGCACCGGCCAGAGTTTTCTTGAGACCTTCATCAGGGGGAAGATATCCCTCAACCTTGGCCGGGGTGGAGATATGGGAGAGGTCGGCGGCAACACCAGGAGTGTTGACGATATCGAAGAGACCAAGCTACTCAGATGGAATGATTAGCAGAAAGTCGCGCCACAGTACTCAAAACTCTTACCTCAGTGACCAGAGGGTTGGCCTTGAGGAGAAGAGCCAAAGGTTGGCCGATACCGCCTGCGATCTCTTAAGAATCCGGGCTAGCTAAGAAGCATTTTACGCACCAGCAGCTCCGAGAACAACAGCTTTGACCATTCTTGAGGTTGTTGATGGTGGGTGATGAGAGGAGAGAGGTAATCTTGAACGCGGTGCTCGCCGTCCGGGGACTTATGACCTCGCGGAATCACGTGTGGCGATAATCACCATCTTCCTTCCGTTCCCCTCCTCATCGTTCCGCCCACGGACGCCCACGGAACCATGTCGCGCAATTGCACCGCTATCGCTCGTTCAATAAGACGATGAATTCAAAATCAGCCCGTCCTAGGATTCCGACAAGAAGTTTTTTGTGTGGATTTCATCGACTGCCGTTGTCGCGTTCAAGTTGCGGAGCAAATTTTCAAGGCAGAAGGTGGACAGCGAGCTGTGTGATTAAGGTAAGTAACGACTTACTTTGCTGTCGGTCATTGGCCAACCGCTCGTCAGATTGCCAACCGTCGGTGTTTTTCAGGGGAAAGAAATGCGTCTTTTTTTACATTTCTGTATCGAAAGGCGCCAGACATGACCTTCGCGTTTTGTGTCCTCTCGAGGGATTGGCGTGGTGTCGAATCTCAGACGCCGTTCCGTGAAGCTCGCTCACGTTCTGACGCTTGGGGCGAGTCTTCCATTGACCAATAGGTTTCCGCCTTCATCAAAGAAGGGGATGGTCTCAAGCCTCAGGAAGGTTGGAATGACTGCATCCGCAACCTCGTTGTACATCAGGGCGTCTACCCAGTTTACTCTGCAGCTTTTGTCTCTTCTTGTTTCCCAGCATCATGCCAAAATGGAATCAGCCGGTGTCGTCAACGTACGTAAAGGCCCTTACACATCGGCCCTCCTCCAAGCTCTTGCATCGTCGTTCAGAAAATGACTCGGATATGATATGACTCAGGTGAGATATAAATGATATACTGTGGATAGCATCGGCACCGCTCATTGAAGCCATCGTTATAGCTTGAGGTCTGGTCAAAGTGACGCGACTTGACCTACAACTTCATGTGTCGCGCATGGCGCTGAGCGCCCTTCCTTGATGAATCCCCCAATAACCCAACCGGGCGGTCAAATGTCTCATCGATACGTGGACTTGGCAGGGTTACGCAGGGGGGTCCATGCGATAATCCGGTTTGGAGGCTGGATCAATATAAAAATCTCAATGCCGAAGCAAACGCTCCTTACCTCTACCCAATCTTTTGCCACCTCCTCCCTTCAACCACGTTTCAATTTCCGAAAAATGTCCTCCAACGCGGCTACCTCTTCCTTCGGACAGACCCTACAATTCATCACAGAGATCAAGCTCGAAGAACTCGAAAAACAGAGGCTTGCTTACCAGACGCATGCGAAGGTCCTCGATGAGGTCAAGACCCTAGGCGATCAAGACCTCCTCAAGAAAGTTGAGATCCTCTCCAAAACCATCAAGTCTTGGACCGGATCTGGCGGTGTCAAAGACTCAAAGATCGTCGGCGGCAGGATCCAGCTTAGCACGCTCGAGTTCTGGCTGCAGCAGGCGAAGAAGGACCCGAGCTTCAGTAGCGAAATCGCCCAGGGGTGGGTCAACACGCTCGAAGACCACATTCGGCACAATCTCATGCGCTTCGACTCCGCCAAGCTGTTCGGCAGGCTCTTCAACGAGTGGCTGGCTAGTGGTGATTCAAGTGCTGTCGCCTATCAGCCTGGAGGCGAGGACGGGGAGGTAGATGGTTCATCTCAGTCAAGCTTCGATGTCGCCGATGTTGGCAGGAAGGAGATGCACGAACAGAAGGAGAAGCTGGTTTCCATCATCTTCGAGGACCATCCCGTCGACGTTGAGGAGCTCAAGCGCTATCTCGAGGGGCTCTTCAAGGGCGAGGAGGCGGCTAGGAGCCTCGAAAAGTTGCGCAAGGAACTCAAGGACTTTGGCTACTGGTTCAAACGCAAGGAGATCACAAAGGTCGACGTCACGAATGCCATCAAAGGTCTTCATGCCTCTGGTCTCATGGACGAAGAGAAGAGGACGACACTCAAGGCGTTCGAAGAAAACCCTACCGTCCTGGATGAAGTCACCAGCGTCCTGAACATGAGAATGGCGAACATCAAAACATGGGCTTGGCCTAAGGAGGGGATCTTGGTAGAATTCCGTCGTCATCTGAACGGCAAGTACAGGTAAGCCCTTCCCTGTAGTGCCTGCTTCAATGCGCTCATGACCATTCATAAGGGCATTCACTGATCCTGAAATCATCGACGCCTTGCTCCTCCATCACATCGGTGTAGCCTGGCAAGTTAAAATTAAGACTGCTCTTCGTCGCATTTTCGATAGCAAGACTTGGGTCCGCCCAGATCCAGCAACACACTTGGTCAAGGAACGTAGGACGGAGCAGCTTCGTGGCGACGACGGCTCTAACTCTATTCAAGCGGAGAGAGACAACACCCGTCGCGCCAACTTCTTCCTGAGCCAGCTGCATGACGAAGCCGCTCGTCCGTCGGCCTACGACGACCTCGTTGATGCGCCAGAGACAGAGGAGGCTACATCCCCTGCTGCAATCAAACGCAAGCTGCTGCACATCATGACCACAGAATGCTATCTCAACACCGCTTTGCATGGCACTCATACGACGTTACGCTCCGATCTCGAATGGTTTGGCCCATCACTGCCAATAACGTCGATTCTCACCGTTCTCGAGTTCATGGGCATGTCGAAGACATGGTTGGCGTTCTACAAGTCATTCCTCGCGGCACCGCTGCGTTTCCCAGGAGAGACTGTGCCCCGGGTCCGGAAACGTGGTACTCCAATCAGCTACTCATTGAGCGTTGTCTGCGGCGAAGCGATACTCTTCATGATGGACTTTGCGGTCAACCAACGTGGGCATGGTCTATACCTCTACCGGATGCACGATGATCTATGGCTCTGGGATGCACAGGCAAGAACGGTCGCGGATGCATGGGCGGAGATGAACCGGTATGCAGGACTCGTAGGCCTCAAGTTCAACGAGAAAAAGACCGGTTCTGCCACCATCGGCGGTACCAGCGAGGACGCTGCCCGGCTACCCTCCGGTGACGTCCGGTGGGGTTTCCTCCAGTTCGATGTCGGCCGTTCGCGCTTCGTCATCGACCAAAAAGACGTCGACCAGCACATCGTCGAGATGCGCCGACAGCTTGCGAGCACCAAGTCGGTCTTTGGGTGGGTCAATGCATACAACAAGTACATGACCTTCTTCTATCGAAACTTTGGTGGGCTGCCTGCCAACTGCTTTACCAAGGATCACGTCATAGACATGATCGATACCATGGGCCGCATTCAGCGCGAGCTGTTCCCAGACGACGGCAGCGGCGGGGCAGTGGGCCACTTGAGGAAAACGGTGGCTGAACGGTTTGGAACGACTGACCTTCCCGAGGGATACTTCTACTTCCCGATTTCCAGCGGTGGGCTCGAGCTGCGTAACACCCTCCTTGAGCTCTTTGCCCTTGAGAGGAGAGACAAGCCGCTGACACTGGTCGACGACGGCGTTGAGGAGGCCAGAATTAACCAGGACGAGGAGGAGGAAGAGGAGAAATCCGGCTCAATGATCACATCGGAGAGCGACGACGAAGACGAGAGCGAGCCCGATGAGGACTGGAGTGATGACGATGATGACGAATACTTCGCCGAGGAGAAAACCCTTGCGGACAAGAAGTTTCCTAGGCGCATTGCGACTGACCGCCGTGTGTACAACTCGATGCAAGACGTATGGGACATCGACGCAGATAGCCGTCGTACGCAGACCAACCACCCGATTACTGCTGAGTCAGATGCTTTCATGTCCTTCGAGGAATTCACTGCCCTACGCGAGTCCTGGCTCTTGAGCTGGGGCGACTCCTATCGTAACATGCTGCAGTCGGCCGAGGTTCGCGACGTCGACCTCGTCCCCAAAGTCCGTGAACTGACTGAGCAAGGTGTCGGGTCGAGAAGGTGGGCCCTTATGGATTCATATGAGAAGTGGGTCGTCAGCATGTATGGCGAGGAAGTGGTGAACAAGTACGGTAGTCTCGAGGTGGTAGACCCCAAGCTGATCCCGATCGGGATGGTCCAATTGTTCAAGACCTCGAGGATGAAGCTGGATCAGTGAAAGAATGGATGCTTGAAAGAACCTACACCCATTTCACCCAACAATCTATCTGCATGACTGCAAACATCATCAAAGTATATTATGTATCATTAGTTATCTCATGTACTCTGCATCCCCACAATATTCATCATCCCCTGTCTACTATGAACCTCGATTCTTTTCGGTGATGTCGAGCTCAACACTTTGTTGCTGTGAGTCGGCGAAAGGAACCTTTTTTTTTTTTTTGATTGGTGTTCAAGCCTAACGAACCCTTTGCGGGCTCCATAATGGCTTTAAGCACACGTACTGCTACACTAAGTATCCTCCTGGCCCCCAGTGCCAGTTTTCTGCCCGAACTCCCGTGGTCGTTCCCAGCACCTCCCGAGGCGCACCCCGAGTGCTCGCTCCCCGGTCCGAAGGCCCAGCTGAAGCTCTGCTCCTTGCTGTTTTAGGAACCCACCACTTTCGAGACGGCTGAGGGTGTAGCACGTCTTATAACCGCTGTCTTGAGTTTTGCTGTGTTCACGTGTTGCCTTGTGCGCACCCGACCACCTCTGGGGTTGGCAGGCACAGTGAATCGATTTGTTAACGGCTTGTAGGCTCTTGCTATGTCGAACTTGTTTCCTGAATCGAATTATGTCTTGTTTTGTTGGTCGAAGTCAATGTGATGCGGGTAGAAATTGAGAGAGTGTGTAATTGTTAGGTAGGAGGATGGTTTGTTTTGCGCGTGTCATCATATCGGTTGCATACCTTCGATCTGGGGCTCAAATCTCATCATCACTACTGTCCTCGGAGTGAAGGTTAGATAGTAAAACGTCACCGTCGAAGTTATGGAAACGCCTTGTACGACTGATGTACTGGAGGAGGATCCGGATACCCTTTTGACTGCTTGTGAGGACATGGAGGTTGAGGTCGCTGGTGGGAAGGCCCATCTTGCTTGTCATGTCTCGCCTTTGCCGTCGGTATTTGGGGCACTGAAAGAGGAAGTGGTTTACTGTTTCGGCTATGCGAGGGCAGTGCGTGCATGTTGGTGTTTCACGGTGGACGAATCTGTGCAGGTAGCTGTTCAGTGGGATATGCCCTGTGCGCAACTGTGTGAGAAAGCTTGCTTGCGGCCTGTTGAGGGAGTTCCGAAGGCGGCAGAATTTGCGGAAAGGGAAGGACGGGTCAATGTCACTGAATTTTGCCTTCCTCGGTGAGTTGTCCCAGTCGCCCAGCCACTTTTTCTTGAGCTCGTCGCTGTATGCACGCTTTTCCGCGGTCGCACTGGTGGGTAGCTTTTTTCTGAGTATGGGCGGCAGGTCCACTAAGGCGCTGGAGCCATTCTCGGCTGCGCCCTTTGCTTCCTGGTCAGCTGGCGAAAGGAACCTTATTCGTCTAGCTCGCAAAGACGATGGGTCCTTCCACTCTAGACATCGAACTTTGTTTGGAATAGACGCGTGTGTGTGGTCATTGACATGGTGTCGGCGAAAGGTCCGACTTGGAGATCATCCGCCTCCTTCGTTCCGATCATATCTCGATCACTACGCCACAATCATACTAATCGGGAAATTTCAACAAACAATCATGGTAAGGGTGTGCAGACTGCCATGAACAACACAGAACGGAAAGTTCTTGATGGATTTCCCTTGCCTATGCCTTCTGATTCTCCTTGTGTCCGGCCTCCTTAGACTCCTCCCAGCTATTGCCAACATGCAGGTATACGATCGGATCGGATCGACGTTAGAGAAACTTGACACTTGTATTCTGCCCGTTGAGAGAGAGGTAGATTCCCTGTAGATGCCGGAAGTTCGTTTTGGATTCGGCGTGGCACCATAATATCAATGAAAGTAACTGGGTATGGCGAAGAGAAGAATATATGCTCGAGAAGAACACTGAAAATAGAGAAAGCAGGACGCCCAAGCAAAAAGCGGGGCAACTCAGGAAAATTGGAGGACGTTCTCATTTTCTTGCCAGAAGTGGACAGGAATACGCGCACGAGTATTAAATCTGCATATCCATCAAGAGAGCCCCGGAAAGTGTCTTGAATGTAGCATGACCTTCACCGTGTTTGTAACATTGAGGCAGAACTATGCGTTTTAGAAAAAAGCCAACTCATCCTTCAGAGGATAGCGGTATCATAGAAACAGGCGACGGCAGACGAACAAACGTCGTCTCCCAAGTGCATATTTGCGCAAGAAATTGGGGTACCAATAGTAGCGCTGGAGACGCCGAAGAAAAAACGAAGGCGAGGAGCTCTGAGACTCTTGTGGTCCGTCTCCGGGGTATGAAGAAATTTCCATAGATCTACCATAGAAGTAGCTTGGGAGCATGAGCATCTTCGTTCAATGTGGTAAAAATTCCCGTCGCGACTCTGAATCGGTCGCAATTCGCCATTGACACCGACATGAAGATGAGTGATTAGTATTACTTGTGTGACAATTCTAGGTGGCAAATATGCCGTAGGGGTGAATAAGAACAGGAGGCGCTGGAATTTACGCCGCTGACCATGATTGATTTTGCTTGTTTACAATCACACACCTGGTTTCGTGTCCCACCTGACAACTGGGAAGGCATCAGCCGCTCGTAATGCATTGAGAGCTCATTTTCCGTCTGGGAAAGTACAGAATTGTGTGGCTGTCTTCATGGTCAGTTTAATCTATCTAGCACTGATTCAGATACTCCTGTATGTAAATGGACTGAAGGTATTTTCACACCCAGTGGCAAGATTAATATGGATGACAATCGCCTTTCGAATCCCGTCTGAAATCGATCAAATCGTGGAACCGATAGGCACTGCAGTCTCAATTCTAAGATGCTAGGCTGAGAGGTGACCGGTGATAACGTATCGAATCTCTGACGCTGAGCTCCTGTGCAATATTTGTCCGCTGATAATGGGGATAAAAAGGCGCAGCCCAACTACTTATGGGCATGTCCTAGGAGGGAAAATGTAAATTACATCGTGGAATACACTCGCTACCTCACCTGAGGCGGAGGAAAGATCGTCATGACATACACCAACTGATGACGCCGATATCATAGTGATGCTGCTAAAGCTGCACGCAGCAGAAAGCCTCATCGTTGTGTCACGAAAAGTGAATTCCAACCTCATGGAACGCAGCCAAGAGTCTGCAACAAACATTGACGTCAACCCGCGCCTGACAAGATGGTGATAGATGCAAGAACTGGAGACGTACTTCAGTAGATCATCTACGTCCATCTTGGCCGCTCGGCTTTCAGTATGACCCAGCTCCGCCAGGACATCGTCGACGATTTTGGAGATCGGTCTATCATCATCGACAGGCTGCGTATGGTGATTTAAAAGTTCAATTTTAGAGGGGTGAACAACGTACCATCTCTTGCACTGATAACCACGTCGACCGGTTCTGCTCCAACAGCTTCATCACCCCCTTCGCCTGGAAGTTGCCTCGAACTGTCTTGTTTGGACGAGAGAAAATGATGCGATTCATGCCATCGAACTCTTCAAATTTGACGGGGGGAGGAGGGTCAATGGGAACCAGGCGGATGACGGATGATTCTACTTGAGGAGGTGGTCTAAAGTCGTTTCGAGAGACGTTGATGATGTTGTCGACTTTAGCATATAGCTGTTGCGGCGGAATGAGCGGAGCTCGCAGTCGAAGGGATGGTTAACTCACCTGAACATTCGCCGACAATCTTGACCACAGCGACGTGCCAGGTCGTGCAACAAGTCGCAACGCAAACTCCCGCTGAAACATGAGAATGGCAACTCGGAAAAGCGGCCGATGTGATAGCAGGCGGAAGACAAGAGGTGATGAGATTTGATATGGCGTGTTGGAGATGCAGACATCAAAATAGGGCATGTCGGCCTTGACGAAATCCCCGATTACAACCTCAAGTTTCCGTTGTTGGGGTCTAGCAAAATGCTCAATAAAACTTCTGGAGTGAAAGCCCGATGAGCTCACGTTCCCTGAACTCGTTTTATCACCTCGGCAGCCATACGTGGGTCCATCTCAATGGCGGTGACATGTTTCGACTGTTCCAAGATCTTGACTGTCAGGTTTCCTGTGCCAGGACCAACTTCCATGACTTTGTCTGTCGGCTTAAGATTGGCCTATAATGAATCGTTAACCGAATGGTTCCACCGTGGGGTTCAAAATACGAACGGCGTCCACAATTCTAGGAGTTGTTTCAGCAATTTGACCAGCTTTCATACAGAAAAGTGTACTTTTGAGCTGTAGCCGGATTCTTGAGGATGTGTTGTCCGAATCTCGCAGTGTTGAAGATTGGGTTAGTCATAGATCCTGAGGGTTGGCTTTCTTTCTTCTTAGTGGCAGGCTGGTGCGCCCGCGAGAATTTATCTGACGTAGCTTTAGGCATTATGTCGTAGCTGGTGTCGTGGTGCGGAAAGAGAGTCAATTTCAGTTTTCTTATTCTTCACTCACGTGATGTCTGAGATAGTAAGCGGAATAGCGGCCCGAGATCACGCGCTGTCGCGAAGGTGGTCCATGCGCAGATATGACGCGTCTTGACTGTTGCCTCCTTCCGACGCGTCACCTGGCCATGACGAGCTTCCCCGCGAATCCAAGGACTCTTGCCCAAAGTTATTGAACATGGCGTCCCACATGAAACTGCGGGTCATTCATTTTCCCTAGAAGCACATG